TAATTATGATTCATTACCTCAGGTAGCTGTGATTAAACATTTGACAATAAATATTTTAGACAACTGACTCCACAGAGAGGCTATGAGCACTAGGTGAGTTTAGTCAGATTAAATAAAGATAATCCTTTATCTTCATAACTGGTGGGGTTCTTCCAGGCACCCACCAGTTAGCTAATATTTCTTTTCAGAATTCAGCTTTCAAGGAGCTCCAGCTCTGTCCTACTCCCTCTGGTTCCCAAAATGATGGTTACTATTTTTTCAAGGCTGGCTGCTGCTGAGTTGTGAGGCAAGTTAAAAGCTTTGTTATTCTTAGAGATTCAGTTATTTTTCTTTAATAAATATTCCTAGATATGATCTAGATGTGCAAGTTCTTTGGTTAGTTTTCAAGTTAAAATAACAAAATCAATTTTTGATAACTCCTGCCTGCTTTTTGTTTTTAAGAAACACATTTCCGATATTCCTTTTGTCAATCTCCAGGCCTGACTATTTAAGAAGTTATAATTGAGTCTCCTGCCCCCGCGCCTGGCTGTCCTCGCCGGGGCCCCTCGAAGGGGGGCGGGTTGAGTTTCCCTCCCTGTCCCGAACAGAGCTGAAGAACTCCAGAACCAGCCACCACCAGGCTATAAAACCCAGCTCCTGGAAGCGTGCGTGGCTGCATTTGCGGCCGTGTGACATCTTATCTTATTATCTCATTCTTACTTTGGACAACCTGGCAGGTTACCAAATGTTACCCGCCCACATGGCAGAGTCTGGCAAACTCCCCATGGTATACCCAATATGCCAAATACCAGTAACAATGATGGGTCTCATTCTCCTAATCCTGAAAGAGCCTTGAATATGGCATTTTTTAAAATCTCAGGGCTAGGACGAATAGACGTTACTGGGGCCTGCTCAAGGCAATCAACGAACAACAGGATGATCGTGATCGTTATAATTGATGTTTCTTGACCACCAAAAAAAGAATCTTAATGTGATTGGTTTCCAAATAGGCTTAATATAATAAAATTTAGGATATTCCTTCATTTATTAATTGGTTTAAAAATATGTGACCAAGGTATGCCATTAAAAGGAGTGTTACAGTTTGTTTTAAAATAGCTACTGATCAATTCTTTCAACTTATTTTATTTTTTAGAAGTCTCCCTGGCAGTACTTAGGAGACTCTGGTACTCCTTCTGGCAAGCAACTATTGCTAACTGGAATGGATATGGAATGCTAGGGCGCAAGGACACAATGCTGCTTGAACTCTGGTGTTTGGATGTCACCCATGTTACCCATTGGTGCTTGGGACCTCCAGGACCATTGCTAGTGGTCCTAAGGAGTCTCCAGACCTTCATTCATTTCATTTCATCATCCTGTTAATCGTCGATTGCCTCGAGCAGGCCCCAGTAACGTCTCTTTCATCCTAGCCCTGAGATTATATTCACGGCTCTTTAGGAGAATGAGACCCATCATTGTTACTGGTATTTGGCATATTTGGTAGGCCACGGGGAGTTTGCCAGACTCTGCCCTGTGGGCAGGCTACATTCGATAGCCTGCGAGTTTGTCCAAAGTAGGAATGAGATATTTATTTGCGGCCGCGCGGTTCCGGGATCTGGATTTTATAGTCTCTGAGTCTTGGCCGCTGATGGGATTACACGGCGCCGGGGGCCAGGTGGTGGGTGTGACCCCCGCCTACTGGAATTTGGAGGATCTGGGTGGAAGACCTTCAATCCATAATTATCTTAAGTTGTGTACTATCTATCTCTCTAGCCCCTTATTTAAAAGGCTACTTATTATTTATAGTAGTCAAATTCTGTTCAATCATTATAGATCCCAGGCTCTTTGCTCCTCTGTGTGGCTAAAGATCTATTTCCTTAGTGTTAATGAGAACTTATGCTTGAAGACAAAGCAGAGAACATGAAACAAACGTATCTTCCAACTGGGTCCCTGAAAGTTTTAAGCTCACATGCACAGAATTCAAGAAGATCCATGTCCAATCTGGCAAGTCCCGGGTCCACTGACAGCAATAGCCCCATTTAGATGCCAGTTTTTACTTAGCACCAACTTGAGAAGGTCATATAACAATCTAACATTGTGTAAAAGGGTGGGAAATTGATTTCTGGATTTGCTGAGGTGAGTGGTTAAATGCCAGTTTGGACTCAAAGGTTTCAATTTGTCCTGAAGAATTTCAAGCTGTATTTGGCCTTGTAACATTGTATATTAAGAGACCTGTTTAACTCACTGAGGAATTCAAAGACTGGGATTCTTGATTGGGTGAGGAACCAATCCATTATTTTTTCTCAAGACTTTAAAAGTTTTATTTTACACCACATGATGTGTATATATTTGTCCTCCCGTTGTTCACCAATTTGGGCCCAGTAACATCTCCATTTTGAGACTTCTTGTTACTATGTTTGGCATATTGAATACATCACGGAGAGCTTGCCAGGCTTTGCCCTGCAGGCAAGATACTCTTGGTAGCTTGCCCAGCTCTCAGAGAGGGGCGGAGGAATCGAACCCAGCTTGGCCGGGCTGGCTGCATGCAAGGCAAATGCCCTATCACTGTGCTATCGTTTCAGGTGTATATATCTATTTATGTTAAATGTTATCAATATTTAGACATTTTATAAAGAGGACAGGCTAAGGATATAGTCCTCTATTAAAACTTCAAAATTATTTTTCCAGAATTATCGAGACAAAATTGACATATAACATTGTGTAAGTTTAAGGTATACAATAGGCTCCTTTAAAGCATTGGATTTAATGTGCTAATACTGCAAAGTGATGACTATCAGAGCTTTGCTAATTTTTAAGTCCTAAAAGAGGTTCTAGACACCACCTGGCTATGGAAAAGCTCTAACAGGAGAAAAGGTCACTCACCGTCCAGGGATTTAGACTTCAGCATTAAAGGGCAGAAGAGCATGAGAAGGCTGCTTAATTCACACTACTTAAACACCATGAAAGTTAACACTTAGGTAAAGAACTAGAATATAATTTTACTAATCACAAAGAGATGCCCTATGGGGTCAGAGAGCTAGTACAGCTGACAGGGGGTGATCCCTGGGTGCTCTGCAGTTGTAAGCTCTGAGAAACACCAAGTGCGGCTCCCAAACATAACAAAACAAATGCCCTACACACTAAACTGTCACCAAATACCCCATGCACTGACACCAAATGCCCTACAACACTATATTGTCACCAAATAAATGCCCTACACACTGTACTGTCACTCAGACCCCATTTATGCTATTTTGAAAGTGAAAACAAGAAGGGCTATAGACAGCGGAAGTCCATGGCCATCTTATCACCCTAGAGAACCAAAAAGTACACAAAGAATAAATGCTTTAGAATGTTCTAAATGTCTTTTAGTCATTACGTCAAAAAGCAAATATAACATTGACTATTTCCTGCTTGTGACTCATAGAACATTAACTTAAGGCAGTGTTTCTTTTTTAATTTTTATTTGTTTAATTGAATCACCATGACATAGAAAGTTGTTGTTCACTGGGCTTCAGACATACAATGTTCCAATTCCTCCCCCTTCACCATTGTACATTTCCCACCACCAATGTCCCATTCTCTCTCTCTCTCTCTCTCACCCTCTCTTTTGGGCAGCATAGTTTGAAATAAAGAAGATACTTAAAGGTTATCATGTGTATATCCCTTTGCCTACTTTCAGAACGATCATTTCCAACTATTCCTGTCATAGTGGTCCCTTCTCTATCCTAACTGCCCTCCGCCCCCCACACTTGTGGTAAGCTGTCAACTATGGACTAGTTCTCCGGGACCTTGTTACTCTCTATGATACTCTCCATGTCCATTCATTTATAAGCAGATTTCATGACTTCATTTTTCATAACAGCTACATAGTATTCTATTGTGTAGTTGTACCACAGTTTCTTTATTTAGTTTTCCATTCTTGGGCACTAGGATTGTCTCCAGATTCTGGCTCTTGTAAGGCAGTTGTTTCTTAACCAGTGGCTGTATTCCCAGGATATTCCAAAAGGGCTACAACTAAAATTCACATAAATGGAGGACCATGGCAAGGGACAGGGTCAACTAACAGAAAGAGGTCTATGAATTGAAACAAAGGCTAGAAGAGGGGAAAAGGTTAATCAATACTGACTTAAGAAAAACTTAGATTAACAACTTTTAGCAGTTTAGCTAGCCAACCAATGGATCAGAAATATAAGAAGAAAACTAGTTTTTCTGTAAACAGAGAGGTCCAGTGGTTCTCTCTCAGTCATGCTGTCATTAGTCACTGGTTTGGCACAGACAATTGCCTTAAGCAACATTAAAAGTTTGTATCAAACTTGCACAGCCTCAGTCATTAATGTTTTTTCATAAATACTGCAGAGGTGTCAGAAAATACTGCTGTCCCTATCTAGGACAGGGGTTAGATCACTTGCCTTGTACCAGCTGAGTCTGGTATGATCCACATATGGTCACCATCTCTCTCCTGAGAAGCTCAGAGATCCCTGAGCACTCTACGGTGTTTTCCTTCCACCAAATCAAATTTGTCTAATTTTTTTCTCTTTGTATAAAAGATTAGGGGAAAACATTCCAAACAAACTTTAAAAATATTTCAACTAGATATTATCACAAACCTTTACTTTCTACTTTGTAGGAAATGGTTAAAAAAGGGTATATACATTATTCTTCTCAAATCAGAGGGCAAATCCTACTCAGGTGAGAACCAAGAACAATTCCTTTGCTGTTCTTTCCCCGAGTAAATGAGTCTAAACACAGAGTTCAAAGCAGCCAGAGATTCCCCAAAGCTTTCCAGTCAATTAGTGGTAAAGTCAGTCTTCATTCTTTTAAACAAAGTTCAGTAATTTTTTTTCTAACCCTGTAGTTCTTGATCTGCAGTGAGGTTTCAAGGATATGGTTTAAGAATTACTGTATAAAATAAAATAAAATAGCTTCTTGCAAAAGAAAAAAAAGGATTACTGTAAGGTTCATGGTGATAAGGGTAGACTAAAATACAAGGACACAAAACAATACTTTTGTTGTTCTTTATTTTGGGGGTGCTATACAAGTTTCAATGATCATCGTACTGCACTATGCTTCTTGATAAAGGCAAACCATAAAATGTACAAAAAAGTTCATAAAAAGATTTAAAAGAGTTTCCAAGTCTTAAGGTGCTGTAATATTTTGCAGTAGCTCTTGAACCTTTTACAAAGAAAGAGAAAAATAAAAAAGAATTGGTTAATAGTTGATTTAAAATACTCACAATAAAAAATAATCAACCCTATTTCTGTCACTTTCTATTTTTTTATTTAGAATCTTTAATTAATTATTTTAAAAATTTTTATTTGTGAAACACCATGAGGTACAGTTGCAGACTTAGAAATTTTTGTGCTTGGGTTTCAGTTATACAATGATCAAATACCCATCCCTCCACCAATGCCCATTCTCCACCACCACGGATCCCAGTATCCCTCCCACCCCCCCATCCCCCCCATCTCACTCTGGTGTGGCAGGCATTCCCTTTTGTTCTCTCTCTCTCTCCTTTTGGGTATTGTGGTTTGCAATAGAGGCATTGAGTGGCAATCATGTTCCGTCTACAGACTACTTTCAGCATGCATCTTCCATCCTGGGAGGATCCTCCCAACACCCTTTATTTGGTGCTCCCTTCTCCATCTGAGCTGCCTTTTCCCCTAGCATGTGCAGCTGGCCTCCAAGTCATGGAGTAAAAGGCCTCCTGGTACTTATCTTGGCTATTCTTGGGTGGGGTGTTAGTGTCCGATTTTGTTACTTTATGTTCCCCAGATGAATGCAATTTTTCTATGTTTGTCCCTTTCCTTCTGACTCATTTCGCTTAGCATGATACTTTCCATGTAGTCCCACTTGTATGTAAATTTCATGACTTCATCTTTTCTAACAGTTACATAGTACTCCATTGTGTAGATGTACCAAAGTTTCTTTAACCAGTCATCTGTTCTTGGGCACTCAGGTTTTTTCTAGATTCTGGCTATTGTAAACAGTGCCGCAATGAACAAACAAGTGCAGATGTCACTTCATTCTGTCACTTTTTAAACAGTAACAAGAAATTACCTTTGTAATATCTGGTCGCTTATTTTTCTTTTCATGTAGACACTGACTAGCAACAAAGTACATGCTTTCAATGGAAGACGAATCAATGTCATTCATCTTCTGATCAATATAATCGTCTATAGTTTTTTCTTCATCTTCAATTTCTTCCTTAATATCTAGCTTTAAGATGAATGTAAAATGTTCAGTTTCAAATAAAAGTGAAATAAATCAGCATACAAATTTTACAATAACAAGTACACTTACTTTGCCACCTGTTTTTATAATGCTATTAAGAATTAAAAACATGCAGGAGAAATTCAGTATAAACTTATGTATATATACACACATCCTAGATACTATCAGCTTCTGCTTCTAAATTTTTATTTTTTCCGTTTCAGGGATATAATCCTGCCTTGTAATTTTTACATTTGTTACTGACTTCACTGCTTTCACATTCATTTCATTTCATATTCATGTACTAGTATACTACATATATTAGCAGAGGGTGCTTTATTTCTTGAGCTGCTTCTGATAATGCATTTCCAACTATGGGAACTAGACTATTCTCCTTCCTTGCACAAGAAAACTTCTTTATAGGTATTTAAATTTTCAAGACAGAGTGGATGAAAGAAGGAGCATGGTGAAAAAGTATAAATAAGAAGAGAGGTAAAGGACTATGAAGGCATAGTGGTTCGAAAAGTACATACTTAAAAGAAATGTCCACGTTCTCATTCCCAGAACCTGTGATGTGATATTATATAGAGAAAAAGTTCTTTGCAGGCACAATTTCTTTAAGATGCGATGACCCTGGATTAAACTTAATGAAAAATATCTGTATAAGAGTCAGAAAGACACCCACGACAGACACAAGGAGAAGACAACACAGCCACAGAGTCTGAGTGATGTAACTAATCAAGCAACAGAAATTGCCACCAGAAACAGATTGTCCTTTAGTGGTTCCCAAACTCATATGGCCTAAATGCTCCCTTTTCAGAAGAGAAATCATTAGCAGCTACCTTAAATGGACAAACAGAAAGTGCTTGGCTTATGGTAGCAGAGGGGATCACCATCATTCCAGCGCCCCCTGGGGGCAGTACCAGTCCCTTTTGGAAACACTGAACTAGATACACACCAGATGTAGCATAGCCCTGCAATGCCTTCCTTTCAGACTTGTGGTTCCCAGACCCAGGTAAGGTAAAGGTAAAGGTAAAGGCCCTCCCGTTGATCGTCGATTTGCTCGAGCGGGCCCAGTAACGTCTCCATTGGAGACTTTGTTGTTACTGTGTCTGGCATATCGAATACTCTCGGTAGCTTGCCGGGCTCTCCGAGAGGGGCGGAGGAATCGAACTCGGGTCGGCCATGTTGGCCGCGTGTAAGGCGAACGCCCTACCCGCTGTGCTATCGCTCCAGACCCAGGAGAGAATGAATTACTGTCAGAGCTTACTCCTGACTCTGCTCAGGAATACTCCTGGTGATACCCAGGAACCATGTGCAGTGACCAAGATTGAACTGGGATGGATGCATGCAAGGCAAACACCTAATCCCCTGTACTGTTTCTCTGGTCCCTCTTTTCTTTTCTTAATCATAACTAACACAAATGGAAACTAATACAGGTGAAAAAAAGAATGTATTGAGGTTGACTGTAAACACTCCAGAGCTGTTCCAGAAGATAAATCTTTAAAGAAAATGGCAGGATGGAGTGACATGAGATTTCTCTCAAAGATTACTCTCTATGATTAGGACATCCACTTGAAGGGTTCAGCGGCCCAGCAAGGCAGGCCAGAGACTGTCTTTGATCCCAGCACTGCCTCCTGGTCCCTATGACTATCAGTGGTTCTGCCGCCAGTTTGACTGTAGCCACCTGCGACCAAGACTGCAACTCTTTGTTGTTGTATCACATAGACAGCAATGAGACAGGGATGGGTCACAGATACTTCTTAATTTTAAACTGTATTTGTATTAAACACTTACTATTTTATACCTTAAAAATTAGAAAGAGCACAATCTTCTCTTAAGTTTAATAATTTTCATTATTACACAATTAGCCACAAACCTCCTGATCAAGATGGATTTAATATTTTTCTGTATTTCAAATCACAATTTTGAGGCTTTTGTAATATTTAGAAGGGGAAAAATGCCTAGGACAAAAGGACAGCCAATTAGACAAGCCTTGCTTTAAACATGTAAGTATAAGTAGAATACCCAGTTTTCCAGGCAGCTCTGGTTTGATCCATGACACTATATGGACCTAAGTGTGACTCAGGCTCACTCCTGGACACAGAGTCAGGAATAGGCCCCTGGGATCTGCTTGGTGCTGCGAAAGCTTTCCCAGCACCAACCCTGACCCTCCAACTTCAGCCTACTACTGAATTTCATCTGTACCCCTGGTTTTTACTGGTTTTACTTTTACCCTTTGAATATTGGATCTAGATACTTTTGGTGGGATTATAATGTATTATTTAAAACTTTCTTTAGGATGTACACGAATGGCTCAAACCCAGTATCTCCAGTTCACATTTCTCTCCTGACCACTGTCAACCAATGAGATAATTTTATTTTGAAAATAAAATTTGAAAATAGTTTTATTATTTTAAAATCCCCAATTTTGAAAGGTTTATTCAATGATATTGTGTTCTATAGTATACTTTACATGAGATACTGTGTATCATACAAGACTGCAGTGCAATGCATTTAGTATACCAAGTATATATATAGCTAAGTCATATAGATATTATAGTTATTCTTCACAAAAGGGGCAAATTAATTGTAACTTTTGATTTTCTTATATCCATTCTAGGGAAATAATTTGGCATATTTTTATCTAAATTTGTATTATCTAAATTTGTCAATAGTTTTGTCCCATCAGAATATGCAAATTATCATAAAATTTGTGTAGTGATTTAACTTAGGAAAACCTTGGATGACAGAATCAGGGATATCTCGGCAAGGGAATGGCAAAGCACACACCCTGTAAACATGCTATCGGGGCTCGGTGACTGGTTCGATCAAACTTATACATGATTCATTTTATAAAAAAAAAGATACTCTTCTTAAAATTCACTACTTTAAAAAGAAAGGGCATAATATAAGTTTCATAATGCGTTAACTTTCAGTGGAGTTTGGGTAATTTTCAAGGAGTGTCTAATTTAACAAACTGAGTAGCATCTTATGTAAACTTATATAAAATATTCCATAAAATTTTATTGATGTTTATACTGTGATAAAAATTTGAATGGAAATTATTTTGCTCTTTCAGTTGTTGTGGGGACCACCAGAACCATACCCAAGAGTGCTGGGGGTCATATGGTGCCATGAGTTAATCCAGGGCCTTGCACGTGCCAAGCATGTGTGTTTCAACTTGAGCTACACTCCCAGCCCTTTTAAGTCATTTTTTATCTCTGAGATAATAAGACTGTTAGGAATCACTCTGAGAGTAACAGAATAAAAATAGCCTGGAGAAGAATTCATGTATCATCTAGTTCTATTCTACACACAAAGGAAGTGGAATAAGAACATGAGTGATATTTTCAGGTTGCCTTAAAAACTTCATAGCAGAGCTTAGAAAGAAAGAGATTACAAAGAGCTGAGTTAGAAACATTTGATTTGTTTCCATACACCATGTAACTGCCAATGGAAAAATAAAAAAATGACTATTCTAAGGCGGGGAGGATCAAGATAGTGGAAAAGAGCCATTTAGAGTCTCCTAAGATAGCACACAGAAACCGCACCAAAAGCAGAATTAAATATAGCATCCTGCATGGAACCCTGCTGGAAAGGTTCTCAAGAGAACCCATTCTCCACACTCAGGAAATTCTCTGGCGAGGAACAGTAGTCAACTTGAAAGTTAAGGAGAGTCCTGCTGGAATTCGAGCAGAAAATGTCACTCAATCCTAGGTGGTCCTACCAGGATGCCATTGTGGAATTACAAACAGCTGCAGCAACAAAAATACAGTGCTGACTTGTGCAGAGGACGGTAGCTGTGCAGTGGAGGTAGGGATGGGGGTGGAGTGCGGGAGGAGCACTGGAGAGCAGAGACACATGGGCCTCAATGTTCCTAGAAGTTCCCTTAGCTGCAAACCTCAAAGGTAGAGGAAAACAGGTGAAGTTTTACTGAGCAACAAAGTTGCTCTGACACCCCGCTCCTATTCGCACCCAATAAGTGAGAAACAAGTGACTGAGCACTAACTAGGAGGAGTTAGAGCTAGCACAGGACATTGACTCTGTCGCTTTTTATCTGGATAGGGGCCACTATTCCTGACGTAAGCTCTCCCCATCCCAAGCTCATAGCAGAGCAAGACAGACACTTGCTTAATCAAGCCACTGGGTTCGGTCTCTCCTAGCCCAATATTGGCTGCTAGTAAACAGGTCATACCTTCCAAAGCTTTTTTTCAGCCTCCAACATGTGGGTATTCAAATTAAGAGGACAAGTGAAGGAATGGCAGTGCTAGCTGCCTATGAAGTCCGAGACACCACATAGGTTTCCTATCTTCACAGAAACCTGTGCAACATAGAGAAGAGGGGGACCTCCCAGGCTCTGGTGATAAGGCGCATCCCTGCTATCCTAATGTAAGTGGTGTGAAGCGTACATGCCCAAGGCACTAGTGAAAATTATTTCTAGGCTTTTTTTTCTTTTTGGGTCACACCCAGCAATGCACAGGGGTTACTCCTGGCTCATGCACTCAGGAATTACTCCTGGCTCTGCTGGGGGACCATGTGGGATGCTGGGTATTGGACCCTTGCCGGCCACATGCTGACACCCTACCTGCTGTGCTATCACTCCAACCCCAATTATTTCTAGGTATTGATCAGGTCAGTCAGACTTCACCTTCATGTCCACTGCTGGGTATCAGCAACTCTGTGAGACCCTGGTACTGTTGTTCCTCCGGGGCACAGTTTTTAACCACAAATCCAGGCACACACAGTTTTAGAGTCCAAGGTGCTGATTCTTTTGTGAGCAAGACCTGTTGTCTGTGCGAACAGCTCATTCTTAGATTCCCAATCCTAACCTACATGAAGCACCAGGCATAATGCAAAAATGGAGAAATTTACCCCTAGTAATAGATAGTGACAAAAGTTCAGGACATCCCTTAAATTCACAAGAACTCTGTGAGGAAGTGGTCAGGCAACAATGCTGCCAACATTAAATGAAATAAAGAAATAATTAATAAGACTACCAGTATGCTTGGGAAAATATGAAACAAGCTTGGAAAAGCTCCAATCAGACGTGAGAATGCTAAAGATTACATTCTCTTTAGCTACAACACTACAAAGCACAATAGCAAGATTTGGCAGTAGAATGATAGCAAAAATTAAATCAGTGACCTCGAGTACAATGTAGATAAAATCATAGAAACACAGAGAAAAGAGAAAAATGATTAAGAAAAATAAAGCATAAAAGATTTGTGGGACAGCATGAAGTGTAATGACATTTACATTGAGGTTCCAGAAGAAGAAAGAAATAAAGCAGAAGAACATCTGCAGAAGACATGACAGTCAAGAATTTCCCCAATCTGAGGAGGGAGACATAAACATAAACTGATTCAGGGATTCCAGAGTCCTATACAAAATAAACCAGAACAGAACAAAACTACCACTGTAATAAAAATGGCAAGAACCATAGGGAAAGAAAGCAAGAGAAAAGCTAAAATTTCCAAAAGAATCCCCAAAAGATAATAAATTTGTCAAATAAAACTCTAGATAGCCTAGAAGGAAATTTCTACTAAATAGTCATAAAGGATTTCTTATCTATGAAGATAAAACTCTGAAAAAATTGAATAAATAGTAATTCTTCCAAAAAGTTTCTAAGAGGCAACATTACCTTAACACCAAAAGCAACTAGGACAGTACTAAAAAAATTTTCAATAGCCCTGATGACAGAGATACAAAGGTTCTCAACAAAATTTTTGTGAACCAAATAGGATCAGACACATGGTCAAGTAGTATCTATTTCACGGGTGAATAGATGGTCAGTTAGTGTGATATATCATAGCAGCAATGGAAGATAAAAATCAGATAATATCCATTGTTGTAGAAAAAGCTTTTGACAAGATCCAACACCTACTTTTGGTTTAAAAATGAACAAAATGGGGACTTTCTGAATATAGAACAAATCAACAGCTAATGTCAATCAATGATGGGAAGACTCGAAACCTTTCTTCTAAGACCAGTCACATGGCAAAGATGACTACTTTCAACACTGGTAAAGGATGCTTGGAGGGCCCGCTCGGAATGGGAGATGCATGCTGAAAGTAGACTACAGATTGAACATAATGACCACTTAATACCTGTACTGCAAACCTTAACACCTAAAAGGAGAGAGAGAATAAAAGGGAATACGCCTGTCACAGAGGAGGGTGTGGAGGTGGTGTTGGGGTGGCAGAAGAAAAACTGGGAACATTGCTGGTGGAAAATGGGCACTGGTGGAGGGATGGGTACTCAATCATTGTATGACTGAAACGTAAGCACGGAAGCTTGTAAGTCTGTAACTGTACCTCACGGTGATTCATTAAAAAAATAGAAATAAATAAAATAAAAAACCATATGCATAAAACAAAACAACAACAACACAAAAGATAAAAGCACATCAATGTTCACTACAGCACTGTTTATAATAGCTTAGATCTACAAATAAGCCAAATGCTCAAGAACATATAAGCCAGACAAATAAACTGTGGTATTTATATGCAAAATGGAATAATAGTTTTAAGAAAAGACCAAATCTTGCATTTTGTTTCAACATGGATCAAAGTATATGAAAGTACTTGCTGTATTAAATGCAGTACATCACAGGGAGAAGGACAAAAGCTGGATCATTTCAATTCTATGTGTTACATTAAGAATTAAAGAAAGATAATGAACAAATGCCCAGTGAAAATGAACTCTTGGCCTCTGACAACAGCTCTTACCAGGCTGGGACTGGGCTGAGTGACAGAGGCAGTGATGAAGGGTTCAGGGCACTTTGCTCACCATGGAGGTCTAGAAACTACACACTGAAAGCATCAACGTTGACACCATTTAATATAAATTTTTACAATAATAATAAAATTTAAGAAAGTAAAATTTTTGTAGATGCTAAATTCACTCACATAAATTTATATAAGTGTAAAAATAAAAAAGGATTGGTAAAAATAAGTGTTTTAATCACCAATAACTGAGGGTCACGATGATCATCCACAGCTGGAAGTCCAGTTATTATTTCTAGTAAAACCTATGAAGACAAAAAAATAAAAATCTTTCAAGACAACATATAGAAACTGAAAGGAATACAGGTTTTCCCTGCTCTCCAAATGTAGAAATTCCTTAATTATATCAACTAGGCTTTGGCAGGTCATTTTCTAAACGTCCAAACACAATTACTATTAATCATACCTTTTTTTTAGCAGTCCAGGGACTCCCCCCCCCCAAATAACCTATTAAATCAGTTTCTCAACTTACTTGGAAAATCATTCCCTTATTAGAAAAAGTCACTCAGTGCCCCCTTAGAATTCTACCTTCTTTAAGGGAACAAAAGCATTACCCAATTGGACTGAAGGCTATTACCTCATAAATGGATCATTCCAGCAACCACTTTTGGGACACTGTACTAAATCATATCAAATAGGCATGTTCTGCTTTGAATAATGGGGAATCGTAATGACCTTGATTATAAGATCAATTATTTATATCCACATTCAATAGTATGTCTTCTAGGCACTGCACTGTAGCACTGTCACACTGTCCTCCCTTTGTTCATCGATTTGTTCAAGCCGCCACCAGTAACATCTCCATTGTGAGACTTGCTGTTACTGTTTTTGGCATAACAAATATGTCACGGGGAGCTTGCCAGGCTCTGTCTTGTGGGCGGGATACTCTCGGAGGCTTGCCGGGCTCTCCGAGAGAGATGGGGGAATCGAACCCAGGTCGGTCACGTGCAAGGCAAACACCCTACTCCCTGTGCTATTGCTGCAGCCCTTCTAGACAATAAACTGAAAAAAAAAAAGCAAGAGTGATGGTCATTCTTCACCTTCCTTCATGGGCACCTTGAATTTCATCTAATCCAAGCCATTTGGTTCCATTAGTGACCTACCAAACAGTGAGCTCTATTCAACATGTGTTCTTAAAACTCCCACCCCTTTTCCTGTCTTGTAGAGGTTTCTTTACATCGATAATTTTGTCTGGCTCTCAGACAAAAAGTATTTTCTAAATTTCAGAAATATTCTACAACTCTGTGCTTAATTTTACAGTTCAGTGGAGTTAAATTTCCCTGCATAAAATATATCTGGACAAAAAGTAAAATGAAGAAGTCCCAATTTCTCTTCTCTAACCACCCATACACTTTTCATCCCATCTAAAAAGTCACTGGAACAGGGGGCCAGAGAGATAGCACAGAGGTTTAGGAACTTGTTTTATACCTAGTCGAGTGTGGTTTTATCCTCAGTACCACATACCCTGAGCACTGCCAGAAGTGATCCTTGAGCAGAGAGACAAGATTAAGCTCAAAGCACTGTGGGTGTGACCCAAACAGACAAAACAGTCACTAGGGACAACAAAAAAGTCACTGGTGACAGTGTGGTAGGCCAAAAAGTATATATATATATATATATATATTCTTTAAAAAATACTTCATTTTAGAAATATCACAACAAAATATAAACTGTATAACATGATTTCATGTACTGAATTTTTTCGTACTATAGAGAAAAATGTCACTGTCACTGTGTTAGGTCCCTAGGGACCCTGAGGGAGATTCCAGAGTTAAAACTCTATAAATCAGTAACTCTCCTTTTCCTGCCCCCCCCCCCCCCCCCCCCCAGCAGAGCTTTAGAATGAAACTCTTCCCTGTTGGAACGTAAATTCAGGAACCATTTGTTGGGCCCTCCTTATCTGTTACCTCCCTTAGGAACTCTTCCCTTATCCACCTCCACCGGAATGCAGGGCTGAGAATCAAAGGAAGCCAGGTGATAACCAAATGTCCCAGTTACCAGATGCCCACTAGCCACAATGCCTATGTACGTAAATAAAGGTAAAAGGTAAAGGCCCTCCCGTTGATCGTCGATTTGCTCGAGCGGGCCCAGTAACGTCTCCATTGGAGACTTTGTTGTTACTGTGTCTGGCATATCGAATACTCTCGGTAGCTTGCCGGGCTCTCCGAGAGGGGCGGAGGAATCGAACTCGGGTCGGCCATGTTGACCGCTTGTAAGGCGAACGCCCTACCGCTGTGCTATCGTTCCAGCCTCTTTAAATCTATAGGCTAAGGAGTGATGTACTGTTAAATGGATTGGTTAAGAAAGCATATGTTGTTACAAATCTATTGGCTATGAAATGCGCGGGCTTTGCTGTAAGGGCCAGTGAAGGCCTATATAAGATCCCCTTTGAAGAAGTTCGGGGTCTTGCCTCACCTAACTGACTTGCGTGTCTGTGTAGGCGGCTTGACCCTGGCTAGCCAGTCTTACAATAAACCTTGCTTGCTGTTTGCAGTCTCTGGAGTTTCTTTGTCGTTAAAGGGAGATCACGATCCGCGCCCTAACAACTGTCACTGTCCTCCCGTTGTTCATCGATTTTCTTGAGCGGGCCCAGTAACATCTCCATTGGAGACTTTGTTGTTACAGAGAAAAATGTCGCTAAAAAATCCTATCTTGCAGCAATTTTTTAAATTGAAGGTTTTTTTTGAAAAATTGTGAGGTTTTATAACTTTCTCATGTAATACTGAGTAATTTATAACTTTATTTAAGAGAGATAAGTGTAGGATAACACTGTTTTGTCCTTCCTGCATAGCCTAAGGTAGTTTAGGTTTATTGGGTTGCTCCCATCACAGTGCTCCCATTCCTCTGTGTTTATCTGTAACTTCTTTCTTTGTGCTCTGTTGACTTGTAAATATTGTTTTTCTCTTCTCCCTAAGTCCTTTGGATAGCTTTCAGAGCAATGTCCTTTTTGTATGGACACAAGTAGACATGCTTTTGTAATGTGACTCTCAGTGATATTTCCCTCCTGGGCTTCTGTTCTCTCACCTAAGCCTCAGCTGCCCTTTCTTCCTACCTACCCCCAAAGCAGGGTCCCGATGAGGGACTGGATGGAACCAGGGCAAGCTATGTGCTATCCTGGCATAGAGATGGGCTTGGCCGAACTGCCATAATGCTTAACTATATTACGAGTTTGGTCATGGACAAATGCTGTCATGGTCCAAAAAGTAATAACTAGATTTGGACCCTGCTAGGGTTAGGAAAGATTAATCTGGCCCGAGTGCTGTAGTGTCAGTCTGTGGCAAGATGTTCCCAGGAAAGCTGCCCTACAAGCCTCAATGTTATCTCTTACTCTTACTGTGTCCATATAAAAATAACTAGTATTGATATGTTGATAGTTATTGGACTGAGGAAAGGAGAAAAACACCTTAGGAGGTATTTTGCCCTTGGGCAATCAGGAAGGGCTTTGGAATGCCTTTTAGGTGGTGTTCCCTTTGAACTTGGTGGGGCCTCAGGAAGGGCTTTCTTATGTTGATTTGGCTACCTGACCGGGGGCAGTGTCAGCCTGGACAGATAAGGGAGTTGGAGGGGAGGGAGAGAGGGAGAGAGGGAGAGAGGGAGAGAGGGGGAGAGAGAGAGAGAGAGAGAGAGAGAGAGCGAGCGAGCAGGGCAGCAAGATGGACCGCTGAGAAGCTAGCAAGGGGAACAAAGAGAGAGAAGGATGTAGAAGAATACAGGAGCAGGCATGCAGAGAGAGAGAGAGAGTCCAAGCTGCGAGATGGAGCGGAGAGATGAGCGGGAGAGACAGGAGGAGCCAGGGTGAGACTAGAATGGGGGGCTCAGAGAGACTGGGGCAGGCGCATGGCGAGAATGGAATGAATGGCATCTGATCAATCAACTGGCTTGGCCCTCAGTTCCTCCACTATCTGCCCCAGGGCCTGGGCCGCTCTGGCTGGGTGAGCGGCCTGGGCTCACCCCACATGTGGGTGGCGAGGGGGAGAGCCGTCGTGGGGGGGGGGGGGGGGGGGAACGACCCTGGCTGCCCTTAAAGAGTTTATACAGCTAAGCATACTCAAAATATCCTATTTAAATTTCACAATTTCAGCCACAATGATTATAGTTTGTAAGATAACATTAGTTTGTGCTTCCTTCCTCTGCCACAAAGAGTTTATCAGGTGATAACCATCACTGTCCTCCTTGAAGCACCTCCATCCCTCTGTGTTTATTGGAATGTAGCTCTAAACATTTTAGGATAACACTGGTATGTCCTGTTTCCCTTGCCACAAGGAGCTTAGGTTTGTCACAGTGCTCCCGAGTCACTCCTATTCCTCTGTGTTTATCTGTAAACTCTTCTCTGTGCTCTCTTCCCCAACCGTTCTATCACCTTTTACCCCTAATCAGACTCTGTTCACTTGTAAGGTAGATTTCTCAGACATCTATGATTTTATATTTATGAATGAAATATTTTTTTTCTCCTTCTCTTATGTCCTTTTGCATAGTTTACTTTAAAGCAATGTCCTTTTTGTATAGGCACAGGAAGACAGTTAATATGATAACACTTTTGTAACTTGGGAGATACTTTTGTAACTTGGGAGTTAATTGACTCCGAACAATACTCACTCTGGGGCATCTGCTTCCTTGACTTATGCCTCAGGTGCCCTTAGTTCCTAGCACCCCAAAAACAGGGTCCCGATGAGGGACTCAATGGACCTAGGGCAAGCTGTGAGCTACCCTGGCATCAAAACGGGCCAGGCCAAAGCACCACAATACTTATAAGTTAAAAGCATAGTCATGGACAAATTCTGTCATGAACTAAAAAGTAACGATGAGATTAGGACCCTGTTAGGGCTAGGAAAGACTAATCTGGCCTGAGCACTGTAGTCTGAGATCTATAGTGAGATGGCCCCAGGAGAGCAATCCTATATAAGGTTAATGTATCTCTAACTGTGTCCATGCAAAATGACCAATATTATGAATGTATGTTTGTTGGACTAAGGAGAGGAGAAACACACCCATATTTTGCCCGTAGGCCAATCATCTTCTGGATGAGAATCTGTCCTAAAAGCAGCTTCCTCTGAGGGAAGGACCTTACATCTGCTGACTATGATGACACTTATGTGTAATTGTTACCCCAACCCCTCATGCACTGGGGATTTAACTAGGCTGTAAGAGTGGGCTGGGGGATCCAGAAGGAAAATAAAGTGGCATGGGGGAGGAAAAAGCAGGAGGACAATCAGAAGAGAATGGAGAGGAGACTGGAATAAACGGCAATTGAGACCAACTAGCCTGGCCCTCGTTCCTTCCTTTGTCCGCAAAATTGTCATCGATCTTCCCAGAGTTCAGGGAAGCAGTACAAGACCACCAAACACAGGCAGAGAGAGAGAGAGCCGTCGTGGGGTCCCTTCATATTTCATTTTTTGAATATATAATTGTTAATTATCGTAAAAATGAAACTTACTACGCCAAAACTGTAGATGTCAGATTTAGGTGTTATTTCTCCTCGAAGAGCTTCAGGTGCCATATAGGCAGTTGTTCCCACAATTCTACTAGTCATGACAGTTTGGGCAATTTTCTCAGAAGCCCGTGCAAGTCCAAAGTCAGATATTTTGGCTGTAAAGGCTTCATCTAGTAAGATATTTGCACTGAAAGAAAAATTGCAATTTGAAGAATATATGTTTTTCCAAAATAGTCAGAAATTGTCCTAAATGGATATATATACATATGTACATACTCATTTACAAAGAAAATAATTTTATTATACACCATGAAAAGCTGAAATTTCAATAAATAAATACAGAATTTATATTAAAGTTAAATAAAAGTAGTTGTCTTCTTTTACTTTTTTCTGAGGAAAAAGTTTAGGGGAAAGACAAATGAAATAAAACTTATCACATTAGTGGTATCTTTTATAATTACACAATTATAGGCTAACTTCCCTCAATGCTTCCTGAAGCACCAGTCTTACTTTCTCAATACTTCTCATTTCATTTAAAAAATTTCCAATCACAGAGGCTGGAGTGATAGCACAGAGGGTAGGGCGTTTGCCTTCCATGCGGCTGACCCAGGTTCAATTCCCAGCATCTCATATGGTCCCTCGAGTACCTCCAGGAGTAATTCCCGAGTGCATGAGCCAGGAGTAACCCCTGTGCATCGCCGGGTATGACTCAAAAAGCGAAAAAAGAAAAAAAAAGAGCCACTTCCCTCTACTCATCAGCAGAACACTTCAATTTACTGGTCAACAAATGATTTTGATCACATACACCAAAAATGTCTAATATGTACCTTTAAAATATATGTGATTATTATATAATAAAATTTAAAAAAGATTTCCAACCACAGAATCTCAAATATTCATTGCTGTATTTTTTTTTCTCATCTAAATTCTTTTGAAGAGGGAAGTGAATGGCTAAAAGATCTTAATTCATTTCTTATACACATTCACACATTCATTTCATACTCATATTTTAATGCAATAAAACTTTATTATTGAGGACTCCTTTACATTATAGTAAGTTTAGGAAGAATCTTTATTTTTGCCACATTCAAGGTTCAGGGGACTCTATATGGGGTGCTAGGGAGCCTGATGATTTTTTTTTTTTTGCTTTTTGGGTCACACCCGGCGATGCTCAGGGGTTATTCCTGGCTCTGCACTCAGGAATTACCCCTGGCGGTGCTTGGGGGACCATATGGGATGCCGGGAATCAAACCCAGGCCGGCAACATGCAAGGCAAATGCCCTACCTGCTGTGCTATTGCTCCAGCCCCAACGGAGCCTGATGACTGAAACCAAGTTGGCTGGATGCAAGGCAAATGTCCTACCCGGTGTCCTATTGCTCTGGCCCCTCTTGAAAAGAATCTTTAAATCTTGTATTTGACAAAAATATACAAGTTATTTTTAAAAGCATACAAAATATTCCATAACGGTGATAGTACGTAGAAAATACTGAAAGTGCAATTGTACCAGGAAAAGTTGGAAAAATTCTAAAGAGAAACTAAAATTTAGTTTTGAAGGAATATTAGAAGTTGTAGTTCATGTAAAGAAACTTTAGGCAATGAAGCAACAAGTACAAAATGATTAAGAAAATATGTTCAATTTTAAGAAACTAGTATCACTGAACATGAATAGATCTTGAATTTTATCTTTTTTGCAACAGGATGCTAAATAAAATTTCACAATAGAGAACTGGTATAACCAAATTTAATTTTTTTAGTATCATAACCTGATTACAGAAGTAAATGGATATGAACTAGTATGAACTACTGAAGGTTGACCATGAAGGTTAATGCTAAGGCAAATGAGAAATAGTGAAGAAAAAAAAAAGAACAAAGGCAGAAAAAAGAACAAAGGGGAAAAAAGGAGAAGCAAATTTTGATCTCACCTAATATAACGCCAATATTATTATTATAGTATTATATAGTATTATGATAGTAATAATAGTATTATACAGGGTATGAGCATGTCTTTAGGAAATATAGAGGAAGAGTTAAGTTTGATTTCTGACATGTTGGCTTGGAGAATATTATAGGACATTAAGGTTAAGTATTTTTTGTATAGAGGTCTAAAAAATACAGGATTTGGGGCTGATGCTATAGATCTGAGGGTCACATACAGTGATAAATTGAAGCACTAAGTCATCTCATTTCTTTCTTCTATGAAAACATGTCCCTCTTTCCATAGAGATAGTGACATGATATATCTCTGTCATCTTTTAAAAAGTTTTCTGAATGTCATGTTTTCATTAATTACAAATCATCAGCTATTATTTCGAAAGATTTGTCCATAGTTCACACATCAATTTTCTCAGATTTCAGCTCCAACTCTCTTCTTAACTAAAAACAAGACTTCTTACTCAATTACTAGATGAGATGTAGGTTTCCATAAGTCACTAATGATCTCCAATAGCACAAAACAAATGGTTGTTTTCTGGTGCTCATCTTGCTCCATAAGAAGCGGCTCCTCCTGGGAAATACTGTTTTCTTACTTTCAGTTAGTAGTATTCTTGTTTTCATCTTACTGGGAGGTCATTCCCCTCTGACCTCGAACTTAAAATTCCTCAGGATTTAATTTTGGGACCTTAAATTACTGACCATCTTTAAGCAAATGCAATCATGACAGAGTTTTCTTCAAATCTAACCTGTATGTAAGAAGTTCAGAATTCTTTCTGCTCCAAATCCGTGTCTCTGTTAAAGAGTTCCACTTCTGTATCTTAAAAGAAACTCAAGCACAAAATGTACAAAAAGTTTCGTTCTTCATCCTTTTAAGTCCCAATTTCCCTTCTGGTCTACTTGAAAGTACTTTCTGTATAAATGAACATGTTATAGTCATTTCCAGAGTGAATTCTAAAATCCATAAATCTGAGAGAGATGTCATAAATCATAAATGACATCTCTCTTACCCTGATCCATCTATAGACAACATGTCAAATCCTGCGATTTAAATCTTTAAGTTTTCTCATTTATTTTCCTATAAATTGCTAGCATTCTCTGACGGACTCTGACTACCCCTCTTATAAACTATTCTATAACTCTAGTCAAAACAATCTAAAAAATTAAATATAATGCCACATTCCTACTTCGTATTTTTCAGTGGTGTCTGATTATATCTGTGATAAAACAAAATCCTTTCTTTGAAAGCACCAAGACGTTTTAATTGCGCCTACATGTATAGTTTGATTCTATAGTAATTACCCCTTCAAATTCTGTAAACTATCATACTACATTATATTCCTGGAAATTATCATGTTTCTATGCTACCTCTCAATGCTGGTTGTGCAGATGTAATTCCTTCAGCTTCGACTATTATTCTCATTTTTCCTAACTTTCTTCAAATCATACCTACTGGGACCAGAGAGATAGTACAGGGGTTAAAGACCATGGTTCTATCCTTGACACACACACACACACACACACACTATATATATATATATATATATATATATATATATATATATATATATACACATATACATATATATATATTTCCCTGGGACACTGCATGGAGTGATCACTTTCCGTATAGCCAAAAGTAAGCCCTGAACACCACAGAGTTTGATTCCCCCTATTCCCAATAAAGCCTTGCAAATTGCAACTCCTACTCAGTTTTAAAACTGCTGAAATATCACTTCTTTGGGGAATTATATTCATTTGTACTCTACACCTAAAATTCTATTATTTTGTGGTTGTTTGACTGACATAAAACTTTATAAGCATGACTTTTTGCTAACTATAGCATCTACACTATGTATTGAATAAAATTGCTAATTTCATAGATATACAAAAAGAAAGAGAACTGAAAGTACCTATGGAGGATAAAGATGATTCAGAAAAGAAGATGACCCTGAAAATAAAAGTACATATAATTTTGTTAAGGATAGTAAAGGGGTATATTCAAGCATAGTATCGTAGTCAAGTATAACAAATATAGTCAAGAATAGTAAACAAGTGATATTTTTTTTAAAAAATGGTAAAGTAGAATGAGCACTGGAAAAAAGTCACTGGATTTAGAATAAAGGATATTATAGATGTTGTAGTGAGGAAAACTTCCACAGGATGCTCTAGGTTAAGATATTTCTAAGAATAGTGAATATAAAAAATAAAAATAATTATCCTTTAAATAAAATTTTTGAAAGATTTTAACAGCAAACTTTACCTTTTAATATCTCTATGAATATGGTGGTTTTCGTGTAAATAACTGATACCATTAGCTGAGCCCTGAGCAATCTTGCATCTCATGTGCCATGAAAGTGGTGGAGTATTATCCTTATAAAGATAAAAAGCAATTTTTAAAAAAGAAAGGCGAAAAGTATCTATAGAAAATGTACAATGTATTTTACCAATTTCTAAAAGTGATATAATTATTAAGAACTTGGACTATAGTTTTAATAACTGTTAAAATTAATCTCTAAATAAAATAAAACCTGAATTGGCATTCCTTATTTGGTAGTCAAGAACATAAGCACAACTTCAAATTCTAGCCTTCATTTATAATTATACATTTCAGATGATCAAGCGAAAGAGTGGAAATCTCAGCTGTTCATGTAGAAACTGCAAACATTTCATAGAGCAAAAAACAAACACCTAATTAAAATGAATGCCGTTTAAATGATTCTGTTACAACATGAACATGCACGTTCCAACACAAAAACAGAAAGTCAAACGATATAATAAAGGAACATCCTACCAAGCAAGCCAGTCTGTCTAGTAATGAACCATTTGGCATGTAAACATATACTAAGCAGAGGTCATCTCCATCATTCGAGAAACCAAGCAGTTCTACTAAGTTTTCATGTTGACACCTGTGAAAAAAAGATTAAGAATCTTTATTTTGTCCTACTGAAAGTTAATAAGAACATTAATGGGATAAAGACTGATATAAGTTTTATACATATTAAAATGTACAATAATATCAAATGTTTTAAAACTGCTTTTCATTGCAAATAAAATGAACATAAATGAAAACAAAAGCAACGACTGTCTCTAAATTATATTTCTGAGTTGATTTTTATTATTTAAAACTTTTCTGTATTTCCCAGATTATCTAATTTAAACACTTTACTTTTAGGATTCAAAATAGGGGTAGGCATGGAGAGAACAAATCCTGAGGTTTGGGAGTTTTAAAAATATCAGCATGCACTATTCTTACTAAGCATGAACTAATTCCAGTCTATTACTCTCAATCATACAGATCTGCATTTGAAACCAAGAGCTAATATTAATTAATTAATGGCCTTGAGGAAATTATTTGATATTTCTGACTTTCAATAAAAACAAAGGAGGGAGGGTAAAACTGTAACAGTTGTTGTCTACGGAAGATATTGCAATGTGACATGATTGTACATAAAATAAACTTTCTGATTACTTTTTCCTAATCTTTTTGATGATGACTAAGTTTTTTTTCCAATTTTTTCCTAGAATTATAGGTAAATTCTTCCTAAGCACTTTTTTCAATTAATACTTCTCTCATTTATGGATACTATTGTGCTATAAAAAAAATCTGAAAATGGAGATAGTTGAAATTCCATTCTTTGAAAAATGCTGTTTAAGAAACAGGGATATCAGCATATGTTTATCAAAAAATTATAGGGTAAACATTATTTTAATTGCTCTAATCTAAACCTTTTAATATCAGAACTCTTCAATGAACTTACTTTGCCATTACTTTTATTTCTTGATCAAACTGTTGTTTCAGTTCCTCAGTACTAATGTCAACCATCTGAAAAAGTAAAATATACAGTATAGTACAATATACTAACTCCAGGGCTTCTATAGCTAGAAGGAAATGCAAACGATTGGCTAACTGATTACTTTCTTTAAAACTGTAAGTCATTAAAAAAAAAACTGTAAGTCATTCTTCTTCCTATTTTATAGAACTGAGAACTAGAAATATTAGTTTGAGGTTTCATGGCTAGTTTAGTGAAAGAAGAAAACCTTCCTATACCATATAGGATCATCAAATTACTGTGTAAACAAAATGAAATAGTATGATATTTAACTGCATAAACATTCTGGGGGAAAATTGTGTAACAGAAAACAAAATTTCCAATCTTTCATTTAATGTAAGTAAGTAAAGTAAAGTAAAGGCCCTCCCGTTGATCGTCGATTTGCTCGAGCGGGCCCAGTAACGTCTCCATTGGAGACTTTGTTGTTACTGTGTCTGGCATATCGAATACTCTCAGTAGCTTGCCGGGCTCTCCGAGAGGGGCAGAGGAATCGAACTCGGGTCGGCCATGTTGGCTGCGTGCAAGGCAAACGCCCTACCCGCTGTGCTATCGCTCCATCATTTAATGTATATTTTCTAAAATTTAATTTATTTAAGCTCGAGTGGGCCCAGTAACGTCTCCATTGGAGACTTTGTTGTTACTGTGTTTGGCATATTGAATACTCTCGGTAGCTTGCCGGGCTCTCCGAGAGGGGCGGAGGAATCGAACTCGGGTCGGCCATGTTGGCCGCTTGTAAGGCGAACGCCCTACCCGCTGTGCTATTTATTTATGTTTGTTTTGTGCTGGAGCAATAGCACAGTGGGTACGGTGTTTGCCTTGTATGCGGCTGACCCGAGATCAATTCCTCTGCCCCTCTCAGAGCCTGGCAAGCTACTGAGAGTATCTCGCCTGCATGGCAAAGCCTGGAAAGCTTCCTGTGACGTACTCGATATGCCAAAAACAGTAACAACAAGTCTCACAATTTGTTGAGACGTTACTGGTGCCCGTTTGAGCAAATCGATGAACAACAGGGGGAAAGTGCCTATGTTTGTTTCAGGTTTTGAGACACATGGATGTGCTCAAAGACTATGACATGTATAGGAAATGTACAGGTTATCATGTCAGTGTGCTCAGGGGACCAGATGTAGTGTTGAGGATAGAATCTAAGCGGGCTGCATTAACTTTATATTTAAATAACATTTTTGTTAATTCCTTTAGCCATTTAGCTGTAACAAGCAATATAAAATAATGATCATATGCCTACTACTGATGCTGGGTTGGTGGTGGTTAGGAAAACAAATATAGTGGAAAGCGAAGGTCACTCTTGGTGGGGTCGGTGTTGGCGTGCTCAAAAACTATAACAACTGGATTCTGAACAGCTTTGCAAATCACGGTGCTTAAATAAAGTATTTAGAAAAAAGTTGTCCAAAGTAATTAAAAAAGTAATTCTAAAGGTTTATTCTTATAAAATTTAGTATATTACCATTTAAATTTTTTGATTATGCATGAAACACTGGTAGAGCAGGACATCTTAATTTTATTTTTAATACAGTATCTTCAAAATTCATGTATAAATTTATGTACGTGTGCAAAACAACACTTCTGGAAAAAATAGTGTCCATAGATTTCAACATTTTTGTTTGGGAGCCACACTCAGTGGTATGCAGGATTTACTCCTGGCTCTGCACTCAGAGATCTCTCTTTCTGGCCTTGGGGGAGCATATAGAATGCCAGGAATCGAACCTGGGTTTACTGCATGAGAGGCAGAGCCCTACTCACTACACTATAACTCTGGCTCTCAACATATTTTTAGATGCTAAAACTACATACTTAAAATGGCATTTATTTAAAGGACACAGTAGAACGATCTATTTCCTAAAGATTGAAAGTACACACTTCCTTTAATGATTTTCATTCCTGAAAATATAACTTACTGCAACAAGCTTCTTCACTGCTACGGCTCTGTTGTTCACAAAGCCTTTGTACACGACTCCAAATCCTCCCTCTCCCATTTTGTTACCACCAAGAGAAATGGGTCGTTCATCGAAGTTATTTGTGACATTCTTCAATTCATAAAATGAAAAACTGTAAAAACCTATATCAATAAAGGGGGAAAGTTCTTCAGTAAAAAAACTAATTGGCTTTAAGAATTTCAGTATTTTCTCAATTTTAATATTTCACATATTAGGCAGGATGGTAGGGAATAAAAGTATTTTTGAGAGTATAGAGGATATGGTGCATGCCTGCATGTGGCCAACCCAGGTTCAAACCCTGGCACCCCATATGATTCTGAGTCCAGAGCCAGGAGTAACTCCAGAGTATCATGGAGTATGGCTCATAAACAAACAAACTAAACAAACAAACAAAAGCTCAGAAAAACTATGTTTTCAGAGACCAATTTACAATTTGTTGGGAGAATTTTATTAGGTGCTCCTCCACTTAAAACTAGTCGTTTACTTTCTTTATAAAATGAAAATTTCAAGTTATGAAGTAATTGTTTTCATAGCTTTGTGGTTATTTATATATTTAATATCTCTATTCACTGACAGCACACTAATACAATGAAGCTGATTTAAAAAACAGGAGGGGGCTAAAGTGATAACACAATGGGTAGGGCATTTGCCTCTCATGCAGCCAACCTGGGTTCAATCCCCAGCATCCCATATGGTCCGCTCATGCACCACCAGCATCACTGGGTGTGACACACACACACACACACACACACACACAAATCAGGAGTTAAAAACAACAGAAGAGCTACTGCCAGTATGTACCGTAGCACTGCACTGTCCTCCTGTTGTTCATCGATTTGTTCGAGCAGGCCCAATAACGTCTCCATTGTGACACTTGTTGTTACTGTGTTTGGCATATGGAATACATCACGGGGAGCTTGCCAGGCTTTGCCGTGGGGGTGTGATACTCTTGGTAGCTTGCCAGGCTCTCCAAGAGGGGTGGAGGAATCGAACCCGGGTCGCCCGGGTCGGCTGCGTGCAAGGCAAACAAACGCCCTACCCACTGTGCTATCGCTCCAGCCAGTATGTACAAAAAAAAAAAAATTCATTGAAATTTATTTTAAGTAACAGTAATTAACAACAAACTCATCAATAGGGAAGAACTGTAAATGTTACTTACATGTATCATTCATTTCTAAACTTCCTTTTTCTGGATTTGAGGTATCAGATGGCATATGGTTGCGTTCAACATTTTGCACAGGTATCATAGATGTCCTATTTTTGTCAGAGAGAAGTATCTGTGTCTGCTGAACTACTGCACCTTCTCTAGAACTAATGGTTTTAGGAACAGCATCTGTCAAATGAAGTTAAGATATGTTGTCCTCACTAAGAGAAATGTTTCCATAAATGAACATGAAAATTTTCATGTAAATGCAAGAAATTACCAAATTTATAAGTTTGACAAAGATGGGTAAATAGTAAAGGTGCTGTTTTCAAAAAGATATCCATGAACCACCTGTTATAAGATGCACGGTATTACTTGTTAAAAAACAGACTGTGAGCCAAGTTTCAGATTATTTATAATGAGGTATGGAATAAAGACCATTCTTAACAAGAACCCCAGATAACAATTTTGTACACTAAACAATGTAATACAAATGACTGCAAAGGGGAAAAGGTAACTAGACACGAACTTATCAGAATACAATTTTAGTAAATAAGGATCACAGAATTATAGTAGGAATTGAAATGGAAAAGAGTCAAGAACTCAAAAGAAAAACTAATTTCAGATATACAGCTTACATTGTGTGAGCTATATATCACATATATATTATGTATCATATATAATATACACGTATATATCATGTAATATACACATATGATATGTGACATTAATATATACTTATTATATTAACATGTATGACCAATATATAAAACTTATTATATATACTTTTTTACCCATATACTATGTGCTTATATATTCCACTTCCTGTTGCTACAAAAGTAATTTATGTCAATGGCAGCATCAAACATCTCGGAGATAACATATCTTCAGCAGTAAATCCCAGTGTTCTATGTCTGGGATACTTACTAAAGGGTTGAAAAGATTTGAAAAAATGGAAAAGGTCTCAAACAAAAGGTTCATCTATTTGAAAAATAAGTAAGAGTAAGAAGAAATGTCAAATTGGGAGACTAACATCCAAGAATAGCCGAGATAAGTACCAGGAGGTTCACTCTATGGCTTGGAGGCCAGCCACACATGCTAGGGGAGAAGGTAGCTCAGAAAGAGAGGGGAGCACCAAGTAAAGGGTATTGGGAGGATCCTCCCAGGATGAGAGATACATGCTGAAAATAGACTATAGACCGAAAACGACTGCCACTCAATGCCTCTTTTGCAAACCACACCACCCAAAAGGAGAGAGAGAAAAGGGAATGCCCTGCCACAGGGGTGGAGTGGGATGGTGGGGTGGGAGGGATAGTGGGAGCACTGGAGGTAGGGAATGGGCACTGGTGGAGGGATGGGTACTTGATTATTGTATAACATAAACCCAAGCACAAAATTTGTAAGTCTACAGCCATACCTCATGGTGTTTCACTAACAAAAATTAAAAAAAAGAAGAAGAAGAAATGTCACTATGACACCCTAGTACACGGTTTACCTGGTAGCAAAAGACTTGCAGGAGCAAAAAATTCATTTTGGACCAAAAGATCAAAGAGATCACCGACTGTGCAATTTGTGGTGCCCCAGTCAAACAGTAATTCAGAAGTAGGACTTTTCCCCATCTGAAGTAATGCTTCAAATCTCCTTGAAAGCAAGTAAGAAATAAACAAATTTAGCATGTGAATGGCATTAACAGGAATTATTCTTTCTTACCTGTCTGACTATAGCACCTCCAATAGTATTGAAGGCTAGCAAGAAAAACTGCATGAATTCCAATTAAAGAAAAAAAAGACTGACGATTATACTGAGTATCTGCTTAGGGTACACACACATAGTTTGCACACACATAAACTCATCTAATGTTCAAAGATATGCTGATTATTATATTTACTAGTGAGAATGCCAGGTCTGGAAAATTAATCATCCTATTGTGTTAGAGCTGAAAAAGCAATCTTCACTGAGATTCACATCTCAGCTGTGAAATTCACATCTTCATTGACATTAAGTGTGCTCTCAATCTACTCAATTTTATGAATTAACTCTGTTAGTCATATGAATTTTAATAAACCAGATTGCTCAAAGAAATTGACAAAGAATGAAGTTAGAGATTTATGCCTTTGATATAAATATTTCCATTAGTTATAAGGAAACAAACTGTTTGAGCATGAAAGACAGTACAGTGGCTAAGGCACTTGCCTGGAACGTGCTGCCCCAGGTTCAATCCCCAGCATCCCCCATGGTCCTTCGAGCCTGCCAGGAATAAGACCTGAGCACAGCTGTGTGGGCCACAAAAGTAAAAGAAACAAATAACCAATCCTAGGAATTTCTACAGATATGAAAATACTAAACTGAACAGATATTTCTCTGTGATCACAGTAGCATTATTTACAATAGCCAAAATATGGAAAAATCTAAATTCCCATCAATAGCTGCCCAAAAGTCATAGTATACACAGTTAAATATTGTTCCATTAAAAAATGAAATTATGCCTTTTAAAACAAATGGAAGTAAAAGACAATGATCACATGTGGAATATAAATAACTTAAACAACCAGGCAACGAATAACAAAACTAACTCCTATACTCGGGGAAAACTAGAGGTTATTAATAGGGAGAATGAAGAGATGGTATGGAAGAATGAGAATAAAGGTGCTCTGAAGGGAAACAGAACTTAGGTCATGGATGTGGTGTGACTTATACATGTATACAGGTATATAGTTATACATGTGAAAGCATATAATTAGTAACCAATGATAAATAAAAACAAATTAAAAATTGAGGATTAAAGAAAAAATCTGATATACATTTTTCCTCCGAAATTTTAGAAAATTTAAAATCTAAAAAAAAATTTAAAAAAACAGACCGTACATTTTGATTTACCAATTGACTAATAGGTAACATTCAATTTTAAAATTATTTATTTAGTTTTAGGATATTTTTTGGCCTATATCCAGAGGGCACTCAGGGACTATTCCAGGTTCTATTCAGGGGTCACTCATGCTGGTGCTTAGAGGACCATATACAGTGCCAGTGATAAAATTGGAGTAAGTCATATATCACGAAAGTATGTGATCTTTTCATTCTATATTTACTTTTAACACTTATATATTATCGTTTAGGTCACGTGTTTACAGTGGTGTCAACATTTATGATTTTGATGTAGAGTTGCCTCATTTCACCACCACCAAAGGGTGCAATTTCGTAATTGCACTTACGCTACTTACAGTTCACCTCATTATCGTCCTCCCACCTCCCCCAACACCCCCCACCAACTCACCTCCTAATTTGATATTTTCATTTCTGTAATCAAGAACCAAGGTTTTTAAAAAATGATACTATCTACTATAAATATATACTATATACTATAAATGAATGAGATCATCTGGTATTTGTCCTTCTTCCTCTGGTTTATTTCACTCAAAAGATACTCTTCAGTTTCATCCAAGGTGCAGTAAGCCCCCTGGTTTCACTTTTTCTTTTCAAATGCACTGAATTTCATTATATGTAATACACACATATAAACATATGTATGTATATATATCTATAAAATCACAATTTCTGTATCAATTACCTGTCACTGTACTTTTTTAAAATTCTGGCTACTGTACTAACTGCTGCAATGAAAATAGATGTGCATTTATCTTTTCAAAAATTGTGTTTGGGAGGCAGGTGACAAAGTAGAATTGTTGGGTTATGTGGGAAAGGTACTCTTTATTTTTTTGAAACCATATCCCTGCCAATATGATTATTTTCAGTCTGATATTTGCCATTCTCACCTGAGTGAGATGATACTTGTTTTGATTTGCATTTCCCTAACAAATGCCAGTGATTACTTTTTCAAATACCTAGTGGATATGCCAAACACAGTAACAATAAGTCTCGAAATAGAGACGTTACTGGGCCCGCTTAAGCAAATCAATGAACAACAGGAGGACAGTGACAGTGACAGTGACTATATGTTTTTATGTAAGAGTTTATCTCCCCTTCTCATTTTTTGATGGGGTTATTAATTTCTTTTTTGCTAAACTTTCTGAGTTTTAAAAAATATTCTGGACATTATCTCTTTACCTAATATATTACATGCAAATACCTTCTTTCATTTCATAAGATTTTTTAATTTAGCTCATTTCCATTGCGATGTGAAGCCTTCTAAATTATTTTGATTAGTTTTGTGTTTGTTATCTTTCCCAATAGAATTAAAAATAAGGAAATTCTGAATCCAGATCCTGGTGAGCTCTGCCTAGATTTTCCTCAATGCACTTTATGAATTCTGGTCTAATCTTGAGGTTTTTATCCATTTTAAATTAGCTTTTGTGCATGGTGTGATTGTGAGATATGGATCTAATTTTTTTTTTTGCATGTGATTATCCAGTTTTCTAAACATCATTTGTTGAAGAGGTTTTCCTTGTTCACTTAGTGAACCTAGTTCCTCTGTCAAAGAATGCATCTCTAGGTTCTCAATTCTATTCCATTGGTCTGATAGCCTATAGCTATCAAAACAATCAATAGCACATTGTTTTGATTACTACAGTTTCATAGTACAATTTAGTCAGGAAATGTGCTACTGCCCTTTTTTTCTCAGAATGACTGAATACTTAGGAAATTTTATGAGTAAATACAAGTTTTAGTAGTGATTGTTTTTGAATCTTGAGGAATGTCATCAGAATTTTGATGGGAATTGCAGTGAATCTGTGTAATGCTTTGGGTAGGATGAACATTTTGAAAGTATTAATTCTTCCATTTTTTCATTTCTAGTGCCTTCTATTTCAAAAGTGGCATATAATCTTTTACATCCTTTGTATGTAATACATGAGCATTTGATTTCTGAGTTACTTCTCTTCTAGCTTTTGCACACAGAAATGCAAAAGATTTCTAAGTATGGACTGTGGAGGCTTCTATTTTGCTGTACTGGCTTATTATTTCTAAAAGTTTCTAAGTGGAAACTTTAAAGTCTTCCACTTATATTTTCATGTCATCTGCTGATAGTGATAGTTTACTTTCCTCTGATTTATTTTTCTGCCATGACTGCTGCAGTAAGGACTTCCCAGACTATTTAACGGTGGCAACAGTGGCCATCTCTGTTTTATGCCTGATCTTAAAGGGAAAGCTTTCAGCTTTTTGGCAATGAATATGTTGGCTGTGTGTTTAAATGGATGTTATTAACATTAGGACACATGTTTATAACAGTGTTGGATGTTACAGTTTTGATCTTAACAGTTACTTCACATCTACACAATGAAGTGGCTAAGGCCCCTGTGTTACCCAGTCGCCTCCTCTCCCACGCTATCACCCATCTTCCTTGACATTCTCTTTTCTATAATCTGGGGCCAAGGATTTCCCCACATTGATAACTTCCATTACCTGGTAAAGCTATTCCAAAATAGTAATAACAAAAAACTATCTTTAAGATGGCTTTCAGGATTTAAGCTTAAATTTCTTTCTAGTAACTTCAATTGCTCATTCTTAACGAGGTAATATTTCCTGGAAGAGGTAATACATGAACAAAGATTTTAGGATTTTTTTTTTGTTTGGACACACCCAGCGATTACTCCTGGCAGTGATTGGGGACCCATATGGGATCTTGGGAAACAGAACCCGGTTGGCCGCATGCAAGACAATACGATGCTCTATCCACTATACTATCAATCCAGCCCCAAGATCCTAGATTCTTTACTAATAATAAAGATCACATAAAAATCTTTCTTCCTTTTTTTTTTTTTAAACTTCTCTTCTTTGTTCTTGGCTTTTGAGCCACATCCAGCAGTGCTGAGAGATTACTCCTGCTTTTGTGTTCAGGGACCACTCCTGGAGAGGCTTATGGGACCATTTGGCGTGCTGATGATTGAACCCAAGTCAGCCTCGTGCAAGTTCAGTGTCCTACCCACTGTACTATTTCTCCAGCCCTCTTACTTCTAACGATTTATCTTTATATGAATTTAGATTGCTATTAGTGAATAAAATCTGTACATATATTTTACACTATATCAAACATAGGATTAGAGGGGAAGAATAGAAATTATCTGAAGACAGAATTTAAAATCCTGGCTGAAGACAAAGAATTCTTTTCATATATGTATAATTCACAATGTCAAAATATCAATGTGAAGAATTCCAAAAAATAATGTAAATGTGCATTAAATATTCACATACTTAAGAGGCTTAAGCTCCAGAATTTTACTAGATATTCCCCCCCCCTTTTTTTTTTTTTTGCTTTTTGGGTCACACCCAGCGATGCTCAGGGGTTACTCCTGGCTCTGCACTCAGGAATCACTCCTGGTGGTGCTCAGGGGACCATATGGAATGCCAGGGATTGAACCCAGATTGGCCATATGCAGGGCAAATGCCCTACCCGCTATACTATCCCTTCGGCCCTGATATTCTTAAAATATTGTTATACTACTTTAATCTGGAAATGAGAAGCAGAGTAAATTACAATGGTTATCAAAATAGAGAACTAGAGTAAAAGTGAGAATCCCTAATAGCCTATTTGTAAGATCACAATATTATCCAACCTGCTCATAGCGAAGAGCAAAAATATTATTTTATTTGTGGTTTTGGGCCCACAAATGGCAACGCTCGGGTGTTACTCCTGGCTATGCACTCAGGAATTACTTTGGGTGGTGCTTTGGAACCATAGGGGTGCTGGGATTGAACCCTGTTGGTCACATGCAAGGCAGCACTCTAACTTCTGTACTCTCTCTCCAGCCCCATATTTTAAAGATAAAAAGATAATTTATTAACAGTCTCAACTGGAGAAAGACCTTACTCTATGAGCTACTACACTAAGCTTTATCATTTGCAGACTGTGATGTAACAATTTAAAAAGAAAAAAGATGTTACCTTATGTGAAACTGATTGTATCTATCATCACCAGACGGTTTTTTAATAGCTACTGCTAACTTTTTCCAACCTTCTTGAGGATCAATAAAATCTGCCAGTTTCCTAATTAAACCAACATTCAGGCAGCGCACATATGTTGATGGTGTTATAGGTTTGCTCATCTTCAATTCCTGAAATTGGAAAATATGAAAAATTCTCATTAAAATTTTATAGTAATGTTTACATGGTATTTGGAAGCTTATAAATAATACTATGTTCCAATGTGTGATATGGCAACCTGTTATAGCATAATAAACACTTCAAGGTCAATTAGTTCATATCCTAAGAAGAAATTTAATCTATCTTAAAAAAATTTCTTTGATGAGGTAAACACAAGGAATAAGAAAAACACCCAATTTAAATTTGACTTTTTTTTTTAGTGTTTTATTTTTTATGTGTGCTATGCCTGGCAGTACTCCTGGTGGTACTGAGGGTCCCATGTGGTGCCAGATGCCATATTCGGGTCTCCTGCATGAAGAGCAAGTGCTCCACCCCTCTGATCCACCTCTTAGTTTTGCTATTCTTATTATTATGTGCTCACTTTCTAACTATAATTTTAATAACAAGTGCAAAATTAAGTTACAACACTGATATATTTTGAGTGAACTATACACAGGAGCAAAAATATTCTAAAAATGCATGTTTATCTTGCATATGATCAATTCAGGTTCAATCCCTGGCACAACATATGGACCCCTGAGGACCACTAGGGGCCTCCCTAATCACTGCTGGGTTTGGCTCCAATCCCACTCCAGCACAAAAAGAAGATATAATCCACCAATTTTTGTATAACTATACTTTCGAAGCCCTCCACATTTTGGGGACTAATGAATTTCTTACTAATTTTTGAATCAAAGTGTGTGATTTGACCCTTTACTTTTGATATAAAAACCTTATTTCCTTAGTCACCTTTTTTTCCTGTTACTCCAGAAGCTCCTCCTAGAAAGCTGCAACCGGGCATAAATCTTGTCATTTTACTTGTATACAAGCAGTATTGAATACAGCTTTTGATAACTAATTAAGAAAACTGTCATACTGTCCAAATGTATGGGATATCACTACTCCACCGTCCCTTCAGTGGTACTTTTCATCCTTCTATCAATTATGTATCTCCCATGCTCACTACTTCTTTGACCTCTCCCCATGTAGTTTTATTTGATCTCTATGTCCCTTATTCTCAAAAGGTGGGGACTGCTTCTTCCCAAAAAATGAAGGCAAAACTACTCATCATTTTTCAAGTATCCTCCTGTAATTCTATTGTTCCCCTTTTTTATTGAATCACCATGAGATACAAACTTGTTCATGACTGAGTTTCAGTCATACAATGTTCTAACACCTGCCCATTCTGCAGTGCGTATTTCCTACCACCAATGTCCCCAGTTTCCCTCCCCACCACCCCTGCCTGTCTCTACGGTGGACACTTTTTTTCTCTGGGTCATATGAAAATTCAATTTCTAACTTTTTAAGGAAGGGCCATATTGTTTTCCAAACAGGCTGAACCAATTGGCATTCCCACCAATAATGAATGTGAGTCCCTTTCTCTCTGCATCTGCATCAGCACTGGTTGCTCTTGTTCTTTTTTGATGTGTACCAGTCTCTGTGATGTAAAATGGTATCTCATTGTTGTTTTGATTTACAGCTCCCTGATTAGAAATACTTTTTTGTGCTTTTTGGCCATTTGTATTTTTCTTTTGAAGAAGTGTCTGTTCATTTCTTCTCTCCATTTTTTGAAGGGGTTGGATTCTTTTTTGGTAAAGCTCTACCAGTGCCCTATATATCTTTTATATTAACTCCTTACCAGATGGGTGTCAGATCAATAATTTTTCTTATTCTGTGGGCTCTCTTTGTATCCCATAGTCATACAATGTTCCAATTGTTTCCTTTGAGGTGCAGAAACATCTAAATTCAACTATATACCATTTGTTTATATTTGCTTCCACTTGCTTATTCCACAGTGGTGTTTCATCCTTAAAGATGCCTTTAGCTTCGATGTCATGGAGAGTTCTGTGTACATCCTCTTCTGTGTATCTCATGGATTCAGGTCTCATATTGAGGCCATTAATCCATTTTGATTTTACTTAATTAAAAGCATAGCATAAGAAAGAGGTCGGAGTTTACTTTTTCTGCATGCAGTTGTCCAGTTTTTTCCAGCATCATTTACTAACGCTTTCCTTGCTGCATATAAAATGAAAATATGAAAATATTTCTTGCTTCTTTATTGAAGATTAACTGATTATATACCTGAGGTTTTGTCTTGGAACCAACTCTATTCTACTAGTCTGAGGGTCTGTCCTTATTCCAATACCATGCTGATTTAATTACAACTGCTTTATAGTTCAGTTTGAAGTTGGGAAAGGTGAAGCCTCCCATCTTTTTTTTTTTTGGTTATTTGGGTCACACCCGACGATGCACAGGAGTTGCTCCTAGCTTTGCACTCAGGAATTACTCCTGGGGGTGCTCAGGGAACCATATGGGATGCTGGGAATTGAACCCGGGTTGGGCTGTGTGTAAGGCAAATGCCCTACCCACTGTACTGTAGCTCCAGCTCCTCCTATCTTCTTTTATCCAAGGACTGCTTTAACTCTTTGTGGGAATTTACTGTCCCATATGAATTTCAGGATTATTTGATCTAATTTCTTTTATTTTTTTGCTTTTTGGGTCACACCCAGCGATGCACAGGGGTTACTCCTGGCTCTGCACTCAGGAGTTACTCCTGGCGGTGCTCAGGGGACCATATGGGATGCTGGGAATCGAACCCGGGTCGGCCGTGTGCAAGGCAAACGCCCTACCCTCTGTGCTATCTCTCCAGGCCGATCTATTTCTTTTAAAACGTCATGGTTATTCTAGTAATACTGCACTGAATCTGTACAACACTGTGGGGAGCACTGTCATTTTGTGGGTTTTTTTGTGTAAATCTTGTATCTCTTTAGTTAGGTTGATTCCGAGGTACTTGATTTTCTGAGGCACAATTATGAACAGATTTTTAAGAGTATCTCTTTTTCCTCTTTCACTATTTGTAATCGGGTAGTCATGGACTTTGGTGTATTGATTTTGTAACCTGCCAATCTACCACAAAAATCTACAGTTTCCAAAAGCTTTTAGGTATTCTTTAGGAATTTCTAAGTATAATATCAAGTAATTTTGAATAGTGAGAGTGAGAGCTTGACTTCTTCCTCTCCTTTATGGATGCCCTTGATATGTTTCTCTTGGCCTTGGCAAGTACTTCTAGTACTACATTAAATAGACGCGTCAAGAATGGGCAACCTTATCTTGTGCCTGAATTTTGCGGGAAGGCTTTTAGTTTCCCCCCACTGAGAATACTATTTGCTGTGGGCTTATGGTTTTGACTATTTTGAGGAAAGTTCCTTTCAACTCCCATGTTGTTGAGAGTTTTTAATCATGAATGGGTGCTTGTCAAATGTTCTCTCTATATCTACTGGTATGATCATGGTTTTTTTTTAATTGATATGGTGTATTATTGAAACTATTTTTATTTTAAAAAATACAAGTTTTGGAGCAAATCATAGTTATGTAGAAAAAAATTCATAAATCATGTTAACCCTGTAGCCTATACATGTAGCAAGTATTGTCTTCAGCATTCATTGACAACTACAACCAGGTGTTATTTACTTTCAACCTAATTATTCTTCAGTATTACAAAATTTGTTTATTTATTGAAAGATGTCCCAAGTGTACAGAAAGTTCAAGGTCCCACCAGCAATTCTTGATAAGGGCCGAATGATACTGTGCCACTTGGACCCTCTGCTGCTGAAGATACCTGGGTCACTCTGGTGATGGCTACCAGGGTGACATCGAGTGATGCCTAGGTAACCAAATGGTGTTTGGACTCAAACCTGGTGGGAAGTATGCTTAGTCTGTTCCCTAACTACTGCATTATCTCCTGAGTCCTGCATAATGTGTATATAATCGTATAGCTGCTTTCTTTTAAAAACAATTGTCTCCCTTAGCACTGTAGCACTGTCCTCCCATTGTTCATCAATTTTCTTGAGCAGGCACCAGTAACTTCTCCACTGTGAGACTGTGGTGTTACTGTATTTGGCATATTGAATATGTCACAGGTAGCTTGCCAGGGTTTGCCGTACAGGTGGAATACTCTCGGTAGCTTGCCGGGCTCTCTGAGAGGGACCAGGAAATCGAACCCAAGTCGGCCGCATGCAAGGCAAATGCCCTACCTGCTATGCTATTGCCTCTAAGACTATAAATGTAAATTTAGAGACTATGATCACTTTACTCACTAATATATATACCTAGTGATTAGCACATTGTGGTTATTGGTGTTTTAAAGTACTCAGAATAAACAGGTTTCTTACCCAGTACTGTGCTAGGTGACATATATTTTACTTAGTTCTCACAAGAACTAAGGCAGTTTACCATCTCTAATTTACAAATATAGTATGTGAAAGACCTAAGATTTGAATGCATAGCAGACTCCAATATTCATGCTATATACCTGCTTCGATCACTAACTGCATTGTTTACTGTTTTTTTTTAAGAATAAAAATAAAAAATCATTTCTGGGCCAGAGAGATAGCCCAACACAAGGCTAAAGCACAAGGCTCCAGTTTGATCCCCCACAAACGCAGGGTCTCCCAAACACGAAGCCAGAAACAGTCCTTGAGAATCACTGATTGTGCTTCCCTATTCTCCCCACAACCCCCCCATTTAATTATTGGTAATTAAATACTACCAATAATTTCCCTCTATTCATTCAGACACTCAACACAAATGTATGTCAGGCTTTCTATTAAGTGATGGGAGCTTGACAGTAAATTTTTGTTTTTAATCCTCTCTACAGACGATACAAATGAGTGATGAAAAATTATAAGAAGTGTCATCAAGAGAAGGAGCTGCAAGAAGAGGTAGTTTGTAGTAGACATATCAAGGTAAATTGTACTCACAGCCCTAATAAGACGTCTCTGGGAAACAAATGCAAATCTTCTGATAACTTTGATAAGTTACAAAAAACCCATTTTACCAATTCAAGACCTCACAAGGGAGCCATACTTTCTTGGTTCTCTACTAAGTTCCTCCTCTGCTAAGGAGTTTCTGTTCTACTTACATTCCAATAAACTATTTCATAACTCAGAGTATGAGCATCTTTATTACTCAATATTGTCATTCTTGAAAATAACAAGGAACCCGAGAGCTACGGACGAATGCAGGGTTGCAGCTCCTGCTAGGGAGGGAAGAGTCCTTTAGACCAGGTGGCACTTTGGTGGTGGGTGGTATAGTAACACTGCATGTCAAAACTGAGAAATATTTAAACTCTTGTAAACAAATTTTACCTCCATAAATTCATAATTAAAAATACACAAGTAAAAAACATCAGTTTAAAAGTGTCACTTGATTAAAGGTCTGAAGGAATGAGAAAGCCAGCCACTGGGACATCTGCAAGAAAAGTCTCTGGCAAAAGGAAAAGAAAAGGTTCGAAATGCACTAACTGAGAATAAAGATGAAAAGGGCAAAAAGGCAAAAAATCGGATGAAGCTGGGATCAGAGGGGCGGTAGTCCCCCGCATTTGGGGTGCGTTTCCTCTTAGTGAAATAAGGCGACGAGAGAAGCATTCGAGATTCATCTCAGACAAGGAAGCCAGGCTACTGCTGATAATGATCGGAGTCCAGGTAGAGAAGCAGGAGGTGGACAGGAGAGCTCACCAACCATCCCAGCGGGGCGTGCTCTGAGCGGGAATCCTGATGCTCGCGGAGAAAATGGAAGTCTTAGAAAACTGGATAGCTGCCTCAGTGAGGAGAATCACGTGCCGTTCCTCAGGAATCAAGAAGGCTGTTCCACGAGTTCGGAACTGAACTTGATTCCTGACATGGGCTGAGACGGCGTCGAGCGTGGAAGCAGCGAGTTCGACTCTGAGGCCACGGAGGCTTGTGTGAGCAAACACGGAGAGAGCGCGTTCTGTTCGACACGCAAGCTGACGCACGTGCCCGGTCTACACTTGCTAAGGCCTCGTGCTGCCCGGCTGCCGGGAGCGCTTCTCTCAGGTGGGACTTACCTGCGCAGCCGCGTCGCCTCAGACTCGGGAAGGCGGGAGAGCCAGGGACACGCCCGGACTCGGGAGGGCGGGAGAGGCGGAGACACGCCTTCCTCGGGAGCCCGGGGCTGCCCGCACAGCTGCAACGCGCAGGGCGGCGCCCGTCTCCGCCCACTTCCTCTCACAGAAACGCGGGCTTCCGTCACGGCTCTCAGAGGCCCCTGAAGGGAGGTCTTGGGGCGCTGAGGCGGGCCGGGGCTGCCTCTCCTCCTAGTTTCTCCTCAGCTCTGACAGGACTCGGAACTTCAGGGAAGCCCCGCAGGCCCTGCGCACGTTCTGCTGGGGCAACGCTGCACTTCCTCGCCCTGACTTTCGGAATAGTCCGAGGAGGGGCGGCGCCCCGGGCGGGCGGGCGGAGGGCGTCCAAACTCGCGCGACGGAGGCGGGGCGGAGCGGAGCGCGCCGTGAGCCGCGACGCAGGCTTCCGGCTTCGGGGAGGCCTCGCGAGAGGGGCGGGGCAGTGGGCGGGACCGAGGACGGACCTGCCCCTCCTCTTCGCGGCGGGCGGCGTGCCCAAGCCGCGAGCAATTCAAGGGCTCGCTGGAGGGACTTTAAGGGGGAACCTGTCCCTTTAATTGTGACTCTGTCGGAGGCGAACTATTTGGAGGCTTCCGGGCATGCGCTCGACGAAGCGCTGAGAACTACCTGCTTCTGCATTGGAGGTAGGAGGGTCTTCCAGGGGGAGGTCGCTGCGGAGCTTGTGCTTGGGACGCTGGGACCTGGGCAATGGGACTCGTCGCCCGCTGAGTTTGGGTGGTTCGGGAAGGAGGAGCGAGAGCAAGAGGCTCCTGCTTCTCTCTCTAAAATCTCAGAATCTTTTTTGCATCCAAAAATCATCTTTATTGATTATCATTAGCATTCTGCACTCTTACAGCTCTTGTTTTGTGCTCATTTTTTTGGTGGTGGGGGGGGGACTGTTTTGTTTTTTTGTTTGTTTTTGTGTTGGGGCCACATCCTGCCATCCTCCTGGATTGTTCCTGACTCTGGGTTCAGGAATTATTCCTGGCGGTGCACCGGGGATCACATGGGATGCAGGAGATCCAACCGGGTTTGCTGCGTACCAGGCACCTTGATCGCTTCACTGTCACTCGGGCCGTTACATTTAGTTCATTTATTACGTGCTTGACACTTTTTTGGCTGTGAGATGCTCCGCAGTGCATAAGGCAGATGAACTTTTTCTCTCATATAGCTAAAATTCTACTTTGATATTTAAAACCAATAACGAGGGAAATTAGAACAGCGGGTAGGGCGTTTGCCTTGCACGGGCCAACCTGGGTTAGATTCCCAGCATCCCATATGGTCCCCTGAGCACCGCCAGGAGTAATTCCTGAGTGCAGAGCCAGGAATAACCCCTGTGCATTGCCAGGTGTGACCCAAAAAGCAATAATAATAATAATAATAATAATAATAATAATAAATGGCTATGCAGAAAATCAGTTTGAAAGAGTAACTTGCTTATTCCATTAAATTGGGGTTTCTCAGTCCTTTTCTCACTGAACCCCTTCTGACTTTGATTTCTTTATTTGAACAGTTCATCTGTCAGTTCATCCCTTAGTCTTGTGCTGTGGCTTCCAGTTTATGCAGTTTTTTAATGCCCTTTACCCAAGGGCAGTTTGAAATATCATGGGTTCTTTCAGGGGCTATATCGCCCTGGGTTGAAAACCTACCTTAGGTTATTATTGAAGGGACGATCTCTGGGAGGTTGTGATTGGGAAAAGAACTATTTATACAGCCGGAACAGTTTTAAGTACAGATGAACTGACAAAGGATATTGAAGCTGCAATGTGATGGGGAAAGATTAGAAGATAAATTTGGACAAGAGAGTTCAAAATCTTAGAAGTTGGGCTGGGGAAATAGTACAGGAGTTAAGGCTTCCGCCTTGTTTGTGGCCGGTGTATACCAGCTAGGTATAACCAATACCTAGCAAGCCAATACTAGAAATCGGTTCAATAACTAGCACCGTATTTGTTTCCTTGAATACCACCAGGATTAACCTAAGAACACAGGAGCAAGCACTGAGTACTGCTGGGTGTGACTCCAAAAGCAGCAACAAAATACAAAACCAAACCAAACCTTATAGAAATCTTTAGACACCAGAGTTAGTCATTTGGGTTTTATTATAAACATGATTATAGGGGGGCAGAGTGGTTATATACTGTGTAGGGCACATTGGCTTGCAGGCAGTTATTTTGGGTTTGATCTTGGGTATCTCATTTGGTCTACCAAGCCCACCAGGAGAGATCTTTGACACAGCCAGAAGAAAGCTGTCATCATCATTTGGATGTGGCTTCTCCCCAAACAAAAATAAATAAAATTAAAAATTCTAAACTTGATCATAAGCTTTTAAATAGCGTTGCAGTAGGATTTAATTTATCTTTTAAATGATTGTTATGACTATTGTGTGGGGGTATATTTTGTGGAAAGAGATTAAAGACTTTAAGATTAGGGGTATATAAACAAATTAGAGACTGTATAATGTAGAGGAAACATAAGAATTGAATTGATACCTGGAAAGAGAAGTGATGAAACGATAGTGGAGTCACTTATAGAGCAAATGCTGGTGCATATTTGAAGGACGAGAACTTCAAGGGTATGTCTGTCTGTGAGTTCAAACTGTGGGTGTGTGACGTGTGTGTACATTGGCTGAGCCAGCATCCCCCAGAGAGGAACAGAGAGACATGGGACCATAGACTGAGGGTGAAAATGGCCTAAAATCTGAAAGGGTTTGAGGTATAGGATTGCACATAGGTGTGATTGATCATTTACAGAGGTAGAACATTTTGGGGAGGCAATTCTCTTGGGATTTACTCAAGGAGACACTCTTTCTCCCAGGGACATCCGTGTTGCTTTTCTCTTTCCCTATGGTTGTACATATTTAACAACTGAGTTTACTTCATATAATACTTGGAGTTATTTGGATACACACCAAAAGAGATATAGGTTCTAAAATTTAGTTCTCTGGGTTCTGAGGGCAAGGCTGCTAGACTCCTACTGTAAATCCCAGACCAAATTCTCAGTTTGGTTCAGCTTGTCTTTCTCCATGGGGTCCTCTCTCTTAAGTCATAACAGCTTGCATCAAGACCATGCTTTTATGCTTTCTAGATCGTCCCATTTCAATGCCAGGGTAGCTTTGCCATTCACCCCAGGTCCATCCCAGTCCCACAGCAGGACCTCCCTCTGTGGGATGTTAGGAACTATAGCAACCAAAACCTGAGTCAAGTAATTATGACAGAAGCCCAGGAGTAGATACATTTCAGAGTCAGTCAACTCCCAAATATTAGGAGCATAGCATTAATGGTCTTTCTGTGTTTAAGCAAAGAACAGTGCTCTGTAGTAAAATAAGAAAAGGCTATAGAAAATTAGGAAAGCAAGTAATTCACTACAAATACAAATTCCAGAATCACCAGAAATTTTGACTTACAAGTAACTAAGATTGACTTGGGGAATGTAACAATGAGAGGTAAAGCACAAAGAAAAGCTAAGAGATAAACAGAGGGAATTAGGGGTGCTTGTAAGAACCCTGTAAGCTTTTCTAAGAGGAATAAAAGGGGCAATATATATTTTGATTTTTTGGGGTCACACTGAGCGATTTTCAGGGGTTATTCCTGACTCTGCACTGAGGAATTACTCCTGGCAGTGTTTGGGGAACCATATGGGATGCCGGAGATTGAACCTGTGTCCGCCACGTGCAAGGCAAACGCCTTACCTGCTGTACTATTGCTCTGACCCCAAGCCTAAAATACTTAGGATTAATGTTCAACAACTGGCCATGCTTATGGATGATTAAGATGAAATGAAGGTAGGAAATTGTGGATGATACAGATGCACCAAGAGACCATGATTTAAAATGGATGTCCATTTGGCTGGTGATGGAAATCATGCTGAATAGGAAGACACTGAGCAGGTGGTTGAGTCGTCACTGAGTGAAATGTCATTAGAGACCAGAAAGAATGACAGCAGGTGGCAGAGCCTTAATGGCATATGCTTCAAAGGAACTAGGGTTTAGGGAAGTAGAGAAAGAAATGATTTGAGAAGGGTTATTTAGAGAATATTTACAACCACCTGCTCTGAGGTGGAGGTAGAAGGAAAATAGCTTTCAGTTGAGAAGACTATAGAACAATCAAGAGAAGTATAAGTTTCAATTAAAAAAAGAAAAGGAGGAAATCATAGGATCTCATAGGAAATCATTTGACCTAAGAATATCAAACATGGACAGTGGGAAGGGTGTTGTCAGATTGGTTCAGATAAGAAAGAATTGTAGAGTGGAAGGGAAATACTGATGATGATAAATTACCTAGATAGAGTGTTTGAAATACCATGAATTGAATAGTAAAACACCCTGGATAAGTTCTATCTCTTGTTGCTCCATTTGATATGGTGGCTCTAAGTTGTGTGAAGAGTGATGGCCTATGAATGGATGGACATGGAGAGTATCATGCTGACTGAAATGAATCAAGAACTGTTTTCTTGTTGACTGCTTCTAGAAGCCCTTTAATGTCAGTGTTACAGAATTTTCTTCTGAGTAATCCCCCAATATTTATTTTTGCAGATGTCTGTATCTGGCGTTTCAAGAAGGCTTAAGATGTGGGATTGATTGAAGCATACCTTGAAACAGTCAAATTGTAAATTAGTAATGGGATTTATTTATCTTTTTGGACTATTTCTTACTGTTTTTTTTTCTTCATTCCTTTCTCTTAACTCCTTGTATATATAGGGGCCAGGGAGGTAATAAGGTGGGTGTGGTCTGAAAACCAAAACCAACACAATCTTCCCCCCAAATTTTTCCTCATGTAAAAAATATAGCCACAACTTCTCTAGAATCAAATAGAAATTTTATGCCTTGGCATGAAGTTTAGAGAAATGATTATAAATAGCTCTGTGTTATCTCTTATGGTCCTTCGATTGATATTTTTCAAGTAAACTTAATATAATACAGTTTTTGGCACACATCCAAAGAACAAAAGCAACCAGTATTGGTGTGGGTATGGAGAGAGAGGAACTCTCCTTCCCTGTATGTGGAAATGCCAACTGGTCCAGCCTTTTTGGAAGACAAAGGACACTTCTCAAAAAAACTAGAAATTGAGCTTCCATTTGATCTAGCAATACCACTTCTGGGAATATACCCTGAAGGCCCCAAAACACACAGCAGAAACACCATCTACACGCCTATGTTCACTGCAGCACTATTCACCATAGCCAGAACCTGGAAACAACCTGAGTGCCCAAGAACTGTGGAATGGATAAAGACACAATGACACATCTACACAATGGAATACTATGTCGTTGTTAGGAAAAATGCAGTGATAAAATTGGCCTATGAATGGATGGACATGGAGAGTATCATGCTGACTGAAATGAATCAGAAGGAAAGGGACAGATATAAAATGGCAGCATTCATTTGTGGTATATGAAATATATATGTATATATATAATACACTGTAGTAGACTAATGTCCATGACCAGGGAAAATAGGTTAGGAGGACTGGTCAGTGGTTGAAACTGACCACAAGTGTGTGTGTGTGTGTGTGTGTGTGTGTGTGTGTGTCTGAGGGTAGGTAAGATAGAGAAGAGAACCGTATGATAATAATAGCTGAGAATGGTCATACTGGATAAGATCTGAGGGTTAAAAGTAGGTAAGGGATATTGTTGATAACCTTTCAGTATCAATGTTGCAAACCACAATGCCTAAAAGGAGAGAGAGAGAGACAGAGACAGAGAAAAAGGGGGAGAGAGACAGAGAGAGAGAGAAGAAGACGGAGGAGGAGGAGGAGGAAGAGCGCTTGCTATAGAGGCAGGCAGGGGGTGAGGGTGGTGGTGGGAGGGAACCTGGGGACATTGGTGCTGGGAAATGTGCACTGGTGGAGGGATGGGTATTGGAATACTGTTGACTGAAATCAAGTCATGACCAGCTTTGTAATGGTCCATCTCACAAAGATTCAATAAAAAAATTTTTAAAATAATACAGTTTAATTTTGGATAATAGTGAAGCTTTGAGTGGGTTAAAAAGTTGTTATAAATCACAAATTATAAGAGAAAATTTTAATTGGTTTATCTTGGTATAGGAGAGCCATGCTGTACATAGTGAATATGTATTGAGTTTAAGTTGTTTTTGTTTGTTTTAGGGCCACAACCAGAGGTGCTCTTGGCTCTGTGCTCAGGACTTCTATCTCTGTGTTCAGGGTTCATTCCTGGCCATGCTCAGTAGCCATAAGTGGTGCCAGAAATTTGAGCAGGCAAACCTTCACCCCATCCTATCTCTTTGGCTTTCAGATTTGAAGTTTTTTGAGAGGGACTCAGAATTGAAAAGGAGAAAGAGAACTAAATAAATTATGCAAACATTTCTTTTGCTAACACACTTTCTCTTTCTGGAAATTGACTGCCTTTTTAATTATTTTGCAGGCATTGGTGTTTAAAATGGAAGAGGATGCAGATTTTAAAATTAGGTTTGGTTCTTTGTGTTTCATCACCGATCATGTTGGATTTCATGGCACTGTAAAAAGCTCACCAAGTGACTTTGTTGTTACTGAGATTGATGATCACGGACAATTAGTATATAAGGAAACTGATAAACCTGGTTATGAGATTAATAAAGTATTAATTGAGCCAAATGTTTTAGCCAAAAAAAGAAAACAAGATCTTCAAAATTTATGCTTTGAAAAGAGAAACAACCAAAAAGTTAGTCCTTTGACTAAGTGCTCTGATGGTAACCAAAATCATCATTCTGGGTCCGAAAAAGAAGATGCTCTCAATGACAGAGCTCCCAAAGATGAAGAAAAGGTTGATGTACTAAGCTCCTTGTTAAATGAAAAAACTAATGAGTTACTGAATCAGTTTGCGTGTGAAATAAAAGAGAACTGGAATTCTAAAACTGAGCTAATTGAACAACCTCCTGAATTCTCACTAGGCAGAATTCTTGACAAAAATCAGAGGGCTAGTTTGCATAGTGCTGTTAGGCAGAGATTTCCTTTTTTAATTACTGTAGGAAGAAATAGTGAAATTTTTGTAAAACCAAATCTTGATTGTAAAGAATTTTGTCATTTGGTATCTGAAGAAGAAGCATTTGACTTTTTTAAATATTTGGATGCAAAGAAAGAAAATTCTAAATTTACCTTTAAACCTGATGCAAACAAAGACCATAGAAAAGCCATCCACCATTTTGTCAACAAAAAGTTTGGGAATCTTGTGGAAACCAAATCTTTTCCTGAACTGAATTCTAATGCCAGTAATCCAAATGCAGTGATAACAGTAAGGTTTCGTGAAAAAGCACACAAGTACAGAAAAAGGTCTCTTCTTCAGTCTCAAGAAAGAAAAGTTGAATACACAGGTAAATTAAAAAATCATTGCCATTTTCTTGGGTAAATTATGATAAAGTTTCATGCAAAGTGAAGAATTTCAAAGAGAATAGATTTGTCTAGAGAGGCATTGGGAAGAATGCTTTTTAATGGAAGATAAAGCCACTCTGAACTAAATGTAAAAATTAGACTTAGCGATGAAAGTTAGGTTAACACAGACATAGCTAACATAATCTCAAAGTGAAGATGATTTTTTTACGGGTTTAATATGTTTTTATGGTTAAATCTTAACTTTATATTTTGAAAGTTATCTCAAAGTATATGTTAATAATTAGGATATGTTTGCTATATTTGAATAAGTGAGAACAGTTTGTAATCTAAACTGTTAAATTTGTCTTTAGTGTAGTAGGTAAGATATTTTCCTTATAAGCTTACCTAGGTTTGATTCCTGGCATCCCACCCTGTCCCCCGAGTACCTCCAGAAGTGATTCCTGACTGCAAAACCAGTAGTAAGCCCTGAGTACCACTGGCTATGGTCCAAAGCCTAAAAACAAATGAAAATAAACTTCTTTACAGTTATGTTGTCCCATGTAGGAAACTTAAAATCTCATAAGGCACTTTTGGTTTTCTCAGTTGGTTTTCTCAGAGAGAGATTCTCAAACTTTAGCTCACATTATAGTCACCAAAAGATTTTTGAGCCTTGCCCCAAAAGGTTTCCTGTTCTGTTTTGTTTTTGTTTGGAAGTCACATCCCAAGTGCTCAGGGATTACTCCTGGTTCTCTACTCAGCGATTTCTCCTGGCTCGGCTCAGGGGACCATATGAGATGCTGTTATACTATCAGTCCAGCTCCACTTCAAGATGTTTTTTTAGAAGGGTTGGAGTAGGTCTTTTACAAGTTCCATTTTTTCTGCTGGTCTTGGGAACACATCTTGAGCATGTTTTTAGGTTTATATTCCTGGGATGAGATGGAAGTGATAATATCTCACTCTGTACTTTTGAAGATACTGCAAGAAAGTTGTTCATGAGAGTTTCAAGGGAAGTCAGGAAAATATTTTTACCTAGAAGAAAGGCGCCAGGGGGCCAGTTGGTGGGTGTGACCCCCGCCTACTGGAATTTGGAGGATCTGGGTGGAGGATCTGGTGCCGTGTAATACCATCAGCGGCCAAGACTCAGAGACTATAAAAACCAGATCCCGGCCGCGCGACATCTTATTATAAACATCTTATTATCTCATTCCTACTTTGGACAAACTGGCAGGTTACTGAATGTAGCCTGCCCACAGGGCAGAGTCTGCCAAACTCCCCTTGGCGTACCCAATATGCCAAATACCAGTAACAATGATGGGTCTCATTCTCCTAAAGAGCCTTGAATATAATCTCAGGGCTAGGATGAAGGAGACGTTACTGGGGCCTGCTCGAGGCAGTCAATGAATAACAGGATGATTTGTGATTTGTGATTTGATTTGTGAGAAGAAAGGAACCCCTGTTACGCAGCAGGAGAAAGTTTAGTTGCCTGCAACATAATGCAAAGTATAAATTAAACATAAAGAAGGGGGACTTTGATATGGAGCTGGCATGGACCTCCTGGACCAGCAAAAGAGCAAAGTGAGAAGAAAACCAGCACATTTCTTTTCAGAGGGGATGAGGCCTTCCAAGCAGTCCTCCAGGATTGTTGAAGCCTTTCCTGATGATGCTCACCCAACTGAGCCGATAGGTTCAATGCTAGGGCCCAGGAGCGCTAGGGAGCTTTCAGCACCACACCCAGCCCTGCTTAGGGGTACTATTAGGTGCCAAGGGACCAAACTCAGGGTTTCATGCATACAAGGGATCGAGGCATGTGTTCTGAAGCTTTGATATGCTTCGAGGTCCACAGTGTTTTTTGGCTTATTTATTACTCTCCCACCCCCTACACAGAGAGATATTCCCAGTTTATAATTAGTCTCCGTTTTTTTTTCTTGTTCTTTCTTCATATTCCCCGCCTTCCAAGTCAGAATCAGTCTGCAGGAGAACCCCACTTTGTCTGGTTCATGGGGCATAATACACTGCCTGGCACACAGTAGGAGGCATCAACTAGTATTGCATGTTGAGTCTGGAGCCCAGCTAAGATGTGTCAGTGACATGGGGTAGAAGTGTTGGTATGGCTTAAGCCCCTAAGAAGAATTTGTGCCCCCAGGGAATTTAAAAAGAAAGGTACTATAAAGAAATTTGCAGAATTGTCACTGGACTTTGTTTTATTGCTTATAGTAAAATTCTAAGGAAAATGCTATTAAATACAAAGGAATCGGGACTTCTGGGTTCCAAAATAATTTAAAAATATTCCTAGCCTCTTCAGTTAGCACATAATTTTTTAAGTTTTAAAAGGTAGCTCTTGCCTTTTTTTTTTTCCACTCTGGAGAAGCTGTGTTCTCTCTGGAACACTAATTTCTATCTTTTTCTCCTGTCACACTTCTAAATTTCTCTTATTACAAACTGTTTTGCTTCACTGAAAAAAAAAAAGCTTCCAAGCAAGTGAAAATCAGGTAATGTCAGGGCAGAATTTAACAAGGCAATTTAAGGTGTGTTGTAAAATTCATTTCTTAAAACTTTGTTTATAGTAGTGTCTCGGATAATGTTCTGACAAAAGATTGTAGGGACCTTAAGATTCACAGTCCATTGTTAAATAGTAATTTTTTCAGAAATTTGTTTTCTCTCAACATCAAAGTCCCTTTGTAGAAAAGATCTTGACAAAATTTGTGTGTCTTTGTGTTACAGAGGGAACTCAGAAAAGCCACATACCATTGCAAAGATTATATTCTATAGAAAAAGAATTCAATCTGGTAGAACTAGACCCAGAGTGAATTTAAGAGCACACAGCAATCACTTCCAGTTGTTGATAGAGCTGAATTTTTTCTTTTTAAGTTTTTAATTTTATTTTCATAAACTTGTTCACAATAATTGTTTACATTGAACATTTCAACACCAATCCCACCACCATTACACCTTCCCACCACCATTATTTCAAATTTTCCCACCACCACTCAAGCCTGCCCATAGGCAGATGCTAAATAATTTATTGTGTATTGCTTATTATGAATAGTATGAGATGTTGTGTGGCCGAAAAGTGGCCACACGCTTCTGGAATTCTAAAATTGTTCAAATATTTGGGGGCCAGCGATATCTCTGCAGTATACTGCTCTCTTCCGAAATTCATTTGTGAGTCTCTGTCTGAATCATGGTCGTTAAATATGCTTAAATGGCCTGATTTTGATCTCTTTTGAGATTTATTAATGGGTCTCTGAAGCAAGATCAATAAATGAGCTTGTATAGCTGAGCCAGAGATGGTTTGTGGGTGTGATCCAGATACCAACTTTTGGCCATTTAATTTCTCAGGAAACTTGCTCTCAGATTGTTGGGGTCCGGCCAGAGGCACAGGGGCAATTTGGCGGTATTAGGTAGCCTGAAAGCACCACCAGGCTGCTGATACACTCACCTCACAAGAACAGGTTGACCTGCTTGGCAGCACTGTAACTCTAGGTAGAGCTGAATTTTGTTTTGGGAGACCTCTAAGGATCCAGGTGCCACCCTAGTGATACTTGGACCAGTGGTATAGGCCTAATGCTTTTGTCCAGTCATGGCATGAAGTCCCATGTGGTGTTTGGGGACCACCAGGGCTATATCTACGGATGCTCATGAGAACTCTATGCTGCTAGAGCTCAAACTTGGGCTTTATGCATGCAGGTCAATGCGTTTAACTATCTCTCTGGCATTGGTAAGGCTGAATTTTACTAAAGGAATTAACTAATATGTGCCTTACTACAGATTTGTCTCGTGCCACATGTTTCAGAAGAAGAGAAATTGTATTTGAAGATTCTAATTCAAGAATATATACAGAGAGAGAGGGAGAGAGAGAGAGAGACAGAGAGAGAGAGACAGACAGACAGGTGCCTACCCTGGAGGAGGGTGGTGATGGGAGGGAAACTGGGGTCTCTGGTGTTGGGAAAAGTATACTGGTGGAGGGATGGGTGTTGGAACATTATATGACTAAAACCTAATCATGAACAGTTTTGTAAGGGTCTGTCTCACAGTGATTCAATAAAAAAAATCTTAAAAAAAGATTATATACCTAAGGAATCTTATCTACATCTGGATCTGACTTAACTGGAGAAGGGAAGAAGCTAAGATTTGAGTATTTTTTAATGGCATTTGTGGCACTGGAAAGTAAGGTAAAGGTAAAGGCCCTCCCGTTGTTCATCGATTTGCTCGAGCGGGCCCAGTAACGTCTCCATTGGAGACTTCGTTGTTATTGTGTTTGGCATATTGAATACGTCACGGGGAGCTTGCCAGGCTCTGCCGTGCGGGCGAGATCCTCTCAGTAGCTTTCTGGGCTCTCCGAGAGGGGCGGAGGAATCGAACTCGAATCGGCCATGCTGGCTGCGTGCAAGGCAAACGCCCTACTGCTGTGCTGTTGCTCTAGCCCAAGGAAGTAACAGTATGTTTTGAATGGGAGTGGGACATAAGATAGCGGAGCTAGAAGGCAAGTCCCTTAGAAATCAATCCTTCAGCTTCTGTCAAGCTGTGTATAATTGCAACCTTGGCGACATCTCATGTTTCTCATGAGAAAGCTCTTTAATATTGAGAGATAAAGTATACATTATAAGCTTTGAAGGTTTAGGAAGTGTTAGACAGCATTAGATAAGCAACTCATGGCAATTAATCCTGGGCATGTGCAGATTATTATTAGCAAACTCGAACAATTACCTATCCAGATTTCTGTCCCATCTCTTCAGATTTCTCTGTGTATTTTCCTCTTGCCTGGTACTCTGCCTCCTGAATTAGAGCCCATTTAGCCTTCCTGAACTCCAGCCTCTGCCCTCTACTCAGCAGAAACACTGTGCTCCACCTATTTTCCAACTCCTGGTGCTATGGTCAATATACTACTTCTATATACGAAATATTTTGATTAATTGGGAGACTCCCAAAGTGTATAAAGGGGTCATTCCCTAAAATATTTTTTTTTTAATTTATTTATTGAATCACTGTGGGAAAGGTTACA